CTGCTGGCTTATGGAAGGTTTGGGGGGAAAATGAAATAATAGAAAGTTTATAGAATTGTGTAGCTCTTGCCGAAAGCCACTAGTTGCTTAAAGAGACAATGACACCCTCAGGGCAAATAGCCATCAATTTCATGCAACATGTCAATGTCAGAGGGTCTCACTGGTAGCATTTAAGGAATCTCCTACAAACAATCACAACTGAAGGTCAGGGGTGCCTGGGTGGCTCAGTGGTTGAGCATCTGCCTTTGGCTCTGGTTGTGACCCTGGGGTCCTGGGATCAAGTTCCATTTCGGGCTCCTTGCAGGGAGCCTGCTTCTCCCTCTGTCTGTGTCTCTGCCTCTCTTTGTGTCTCTCATGGGTAAATAAATAAAATTAAAAAAAAAAAAAACAAGAAAACAACTGAAGATCAACTATAAGACTTAATAGAGAATGAAAACTTCCGTGAAGACTGGTGTTAATGTTTATTGAGTACTTACCTTGTTGTAAACATCATGTGCTTTATGTGGATCATGTCATTTAATCCTCACAACATTATGAGGTGGTTTTATGTAGCACCCTCATTTTGCAGTTGGGAAAAACTGAAGTGCCCCAAGTCACACAGTATGTGGCAGAATTAGCATTTGAACCCAGCCAGACTACTTTCCACTTTGCGTATAAACTAAACTATATTATGTCTATTATTTTTTTAAGATTTTAAATTTTATTTTTGAGAGAGAGAGGGCATGCATCTGAGCTGAGGGGGGAGGGGCAGAAGGAGAGAGAAACCTAAGCAGGTCCACACCCAGCATAGAGCCCAACTTAGGGCTGTATCTCACGACCCTGAGATCATGACCTGGGCCAAAATCACGGGTTGGTTGCATTTAACCAACTAAGCCACTCAGGCGCCTCTGTCTTGTATTATTAAACATCAAACATTACAAAGTGGTGAAACTCTGTTTTTGTCACTTGTGTGAAAAAGTTTTGAGCCAAGATATGATAAAATCATACAGTTATAGGATCTTAAAATTGTCATGGGTCCCATGGGATCATCAAACCTAACCTCCCCAACCTGATGGAGGAATCCTCCGTGTGTAACAAACACTTAGTAAACATGTTGAACTGGAGAAAACACTTCTGCCAATTGGTTACCCAGTTTCTGAGTGTCCGAAACATCTTTCTGAGCTGAAAACTGTTTATCTGTAGTCTTACAGCTTTCCCTCATTGCTTCTAATTTCAGGAAAACAAAAAAATTATGTTATTTGAGTATCTGAAAAGTTTTTGCTGTTACTCAGTCACCAACATCCATCATAGCCCTCTCCTCCAAAAGGAAAGGGAAACGACGTTAGGGTCATACATTTGCTCGAGTTTGGGCAAGTTAGAGCAAGTTTGTTTGCCTGAGATGCTACTTCCTTATCTTTTTAACATTAAGATGTTGGAAGGGACTAAGGCAGAAAAGGAACAGGACAGCAGAATCTGGGTTCCAATTACATCAGTAAGTGGGCACAGGAGCATGTTACTACGGTACTAGGGGCAGAAAGGAAGCCTGTGATTTTCTAAAAAATTCCTGTTATTTTTACAAAAGTACTGGAACCATCTGAGTGAGTAGGGCCCGGTCATTAGCTTGAGGTATTTTCCTTGCAGAAGGAACTTGTGAACCATGCCTTCCACCCTGGAGGCTGGATTTTCCATGGTCCCTTATTTCTTTCTCACGGGGGAGGAAATGTTTCTAAACTTTGGCTTTTTTTTTTTTTTTTAAGATTCTATTTATTCATGATAGAGAGAGAGAGAGAGAGAGAGAGAGGGAGGGAGGGAGGGAGGGAGGGAGGGAGAGACACAGAGAGAGGGAGTAGCAGGCTCCATGCAGTGAGTCCGATGTGGGACTCCATCCCGGGACTCCCAGGACTCCCAGGATCACGCCCTGGGCCAAAGGCAGGCGCTAAACCGCTGAGCCACCCAGGGATCCCCCTAAACTTTGGTCTTTTCCCCAGACTGAAGAAGAGGCTACATCTTACTCTTAGATGTACAATGTAGAGGGAGGCCCCGGGAACTACAGAGGTGGTGGCGCGACCCCCCAGATTCCTACAGAGCACTAATGAGGCGGAGCGGGCCTGAGGGGGCGGGACTGCTAGGTACTTAGGTGGACTTTCCAGGACTTCTGTTTGTCCTGAGGTCCTGTGTTCTGTTCGTCTTTCCTCTCCCGGTCTACCTGTGGGCCTGAATTCCGGTGTGCGGGTGGTGGAGAGGTCGAGAGGAGTCTCCCGATGATCGTCAGCACCCCGGCCTCTGGCACCCCAGCACGATGTGGGGGAAAGCGCCTTCCCCTATGGCTCCTACGCCCCGGCCCAGCCCCGCTTTGTGCTTTGACTTAAACCTAAATGTTGGGATCCATTAGGAAGGGCGTGGGAGACAAATCGTTAAGGCACTAGCATTTTTCTGTGCTGGTACTGAATTCTGGAATGACTTTCCCCATAAGTGAAGCCCTGGGGCTTGGACCTAAGGAGAGAGAACTTTACAGAAGGTCCAGAAAGAGGAAACAACAGGTATCAGGGTGACCAGAGATCTGCACCTGTCAGATCACATGTAGCAGAACTAGAGACACTGTTTGAAATGGGAAGATAAAGGGAGAAAAAGTAAGAGTAGGAAAGTAACGAAGTACCTGCAGAGATACAGAAAATATAGCAGATTAAAAAAAAAATTAGGGATATTCAAGGATAAACACCAAGATGTTTTGGACTTGGTGTCAAGGACAATTTTCCCTTTTGACATCTATCTCTTGGCTCCCCTGAGCATGAGTTTGGTGCAGTATAGTAACTGCTGTGTTTTATCTTTGGCCGGAAATAGTACAAGCGCAGTGTATATCACTGATTGGTGCTGCTACCAGGAGAAAATACGACTGCATTACCACAAACCCATCACTCAGTCCAGATAAACCACCTTAACAAACCATTGCAGTTATAATTTTGTTTCTAAGAGAAAAAAAAAGGTTACATTTGTTGGGCATCTGATAATGTGCTTATTTCTGTGCTAAATACCTTACCTGGTATGTTAGTATGCTCCCGCTGCTGTAACAAAATGCTGCAGATATTTATTTTCTTAAGGTTCTGGAAGCTGGAAATTAGATATCCAGGTAACAGTGGACAGCTGCCTCCTTGCTGTCCTCATATGGCCTTTCCTCCCAGTGCCTCCGCTCCTGGTAGCTCTTCCTCTTAGGACATCAGTCCTATTGACAGCCAAACCTATCACCTCATTTAACTTTACCCCATTATCTCCAGATGCAGTAGGGTTTCAATGTAGGAATTTTGGGAGACACAGTTCAGTCCTGCTTAGGAGTGGATTTACATTGTACTGGCTTACCGTGTATTAACAATACACGTACATTTACAATACAACACATTTAAAATAATTACTTAAGAGGGTGTCTCAATTTTAGAGTTGGGCAATCTGAGCTTCAGAAAGTTAATGAATTGTCCACGGTCAGATAGGGAGTATCAATCAGAGACAAAATTCAGCTGTCCAGTTCCAAAGCCGGAGTTCTTTCTCTGCAGCATATGGAGTATCTTTTTTTCTTATGTATTTCTATGAGTATTTCCACCCTGTTTATATGGTGCTTTATGTTTCTAAGACATTTAATACAGTCTTCAAAAGCTCTGCAGGGAAAACAAGCAGTACCGTCCTCATTTTACAGATGAAGAAACGGAGGCGCAGAGTAAGGACTTGACCATATCTGGAGCCTCAAGACTCCTCAGTCCTAACCTATTCAGGGCTCCACACTACAGTGAGAAAAGATCTGTATCTGGTGTTTTCACAGCTTTTTAATTCTCTTTCTGGCAGCAAACTGTTATCTTCACTCCCCATTCCAACATCTTCCCAGATAAAGGTGGGGGACTAGGGATGTGGATATGAGTTGTCCCAAAGGGGTCAATGCAATTCCAAATTGTCCCTGGTTAAATGGTGCTGGTGAGGTATATGTACTAGTTATGTCATCACAAGAAAACACAAAGGAAGCAGGTATCTGATCTGGAAGGGGCAGGATTTTAGTAGGAAAGACCCATCATAAACTGCCCCAGCCCATGAGGATGGTGCTTGTGGAAACCTGTATCTTGGAATTTGGCCAAAGGCTAATTGTCACTAATCAGGACACAAAAAGATCTTGATTGTGGGCAGAGGAAACCAAACAAAGCAATTCTCAAGGATACAGAGATAAGACTTGGTCTCTCTGTCCTGTCAACTTGGATTTTATTTCACAGGGCCCATCCTGCTCCCAGACTTTACCATCAACCCCTAAAACTCACCCTCTCCTGAAGTAAGGAAGCTGTTCTTGGTTTAAGCTGCTGGTCTCAATATAGCCACTGAAATTTTGCATGAGTACCTATTGATTATTTTACAGCTTTCAAATCTATCAGACACTCGTTTCTTTTTTCTGCTTCCTTTTACACAGTGGCTTGGGACCATGTTAGTTTTGTAACTGTTGGTGGTACACTGTCACCTGGTTTTGCCACAGATGATGTCTGTGAGTTTCAGTTTTCCTATCCCGGTTGCTCTGTTTTTAAGGAGGGTCTTGGAGAGATTAAGAAACTGTCCCTATCACTCTCTTCTCTTTTGTGTCCCTTGGGTAGCAAGGGACACCTTCATAAAAATATCCTGACAGAGTGTCCTAGATATGCATCTCATTAGCTAGAATTATAACACGTGCCCATGCTTAAATAAATCCAGTTTGAGGATGGTGTTAAGCCATGATTAGCATTCACTTCCTGGAATTAGAACAAAAAAGGAAGAACACATATAAGCACACAGATGGTGAGAAACTGGACCCGAATGGGGCTCTGCCTGAAAGGAAGCAGCAAGGCAGCAGTGGTGGACAGGGATCTGAGTATAAGACTACATTTTAAGAACACTATTTTTCAAAATTGACAGTAAGACACAAATATATTTCACGTCATTATTCTGGATGCACATACACATGATTCATGTTACTAGAACAAGTTTCCTGAAATGATATTACATAGAAAAATGAAACACAGTAAAGTCCAAATATAATTTTATTAATATTTAAATACAACCTACTAAAAAAAAACCTTAAAAAGTCCAAAAACAAATTTCATAGAGATTAGATTTAATGTGAGGGGTGTGCTTGCCTGTTCATAAGCTCATTCCAGTCAGGAACACAGGAGGATAAGGCTACACGCATGTCAGGTGCACTATTGAGCCTATTTCTTTTCTTGGTTTTCAACCGTGTCAAGATGGAAAATCCTAGTTCACACAAATAGGTAGATGTGAATGGTAGTAACAGCAGTATGCTCTTTCTACTCAGCAATGGAAATTCATCTTTAATCTTAATCCAAAATGCTGATAAACTTAATGTCTTATAGTAATTCCTTAGTGTGAATGATGAACTGAGCTGTGATAATTCATTCTCTTCTTCGGGCTCTAAGTTTAACTCAATGATTGATTCAGGGGTTTGAAAGACAAATGGATCTTTTATCCATATATTTTCCTTTAATGATTCAAATTTCTCTTCTGGAAAGTAATGATGAAAGGTTTGAGACAAAGAAGTGAGATGTATTAGTATCTCTGATTTTATTTCTTTTAGGTGGTCTTCATTAATAATATTCTCTTCAATGTGTTGCAACAAAGTTGGGAACATATAGTAGCTAGGGCGATTACTTTTAAATCTTGCTTGCCACAACAATAATGTCTTTTGGAATCCTAGAATATGTTCAAGATATTGAAACACATTGGTTTTCCCCTGTACTTTCAAATTTAATTCATTAAGAATGCCAAAAACATCACTTAAATATGCCAATTTTGTTACCCAAATGTCATCTTCAAAAATATTTGCCAAATGTGATTGCTTTTCAATGAGAAAAATGTAAATCTCATTCCTGAGTTCATATACTCTGCTCAATACTTTTCCTTGAGACAACCAACGAACTTCTGTATGAAACAGTAAGTGAGTATGGTTAACTCCAATCTCTGAACAAAGTATTTCAAGAAGTTGGCCATTTGATGAGCTTCCTTTAATAAAATTAACAATTTTGACTGCATTTTTCAACACAACCATTAGACTTGGTGGAATTTCTTTGGATACCAAAGCTTCTCGATGAATAAAACAATGATGCCAAAGGGCACTGTTATGTGTTACTTCTAACAATTTTTCAATAACCCTGCTATGTTTCCCAGTCATATTTGCTGCTCCATCACTCGAAATTCCTTTACAGTTTTTCCAATTTAATTTATACTGACCAACAATACACTTTTCTAATTCAGTAAATATATCTAATCCAGTTGTGTGTGAATGTAAACTTAAACAGCACAACAGATCCTCTATAAAATCATCTTGCCACACATACCTGACATAAACCAAGAGTGTTGGACAACTTGCAATATCAGTGCTCTGGTCAAGTTGGATTGCAAAATCTATCCCAGACTGCAACCGTGCAATAAGCATCTCCTCTAAATGCTTTGCAATCGTACAGATTCGACGAGATATCGTATTGTCACTAAGAGGTATAGTTCTTAATTTATCAGCTGATTTATCATCAAAAATTGTCCGTACCATATCCATACAGGCTGGAAGAATAATTTTTTCAGCAGCTGTGTGAGCCAGTTTTTCTTTTGCTACTCGATATGCAACCAAATAGGATGATAACAGGGCTCTCTCATTCGTGGTTGTGGACTAAGAAGAAATGGTGGGGATAATTCTATGTTATTTCTTTCCCTTTGGAAATGGTCTTCCTCATCTTCGTCTTCCTCCTCCACTTTCACTATCACTACGCCTTCCATCTCCTGGGTGGACTGGGGAGACAAATCTGCAGTCTGCCTGGACTCAGGAGTCAGTGTTCAGGTTCAAAGAACTGGCTCACTTGATCCACACAGGGTCTGTCTGCAGGACTGTTCTTTTTGTCCAAGATGTTTTAGGAGACCTATCCTGCAGAGTAGAAAAATTTAATAGCAGTATGAAAAAGTAACATTGTATTGTGATGCTGTTAACACCTCATGCAAGTATTCATGAGGACAGTTGACTAAATCTGATGTTGTGGTAGCCAGAGTGCAGGCTGATTTGTTCATTATATTTATGTATATAGCTCATTTACTGCTCATGGAAACCTTATGCAGTACACAATTACTCCTATTTTTAAAAGTTCAGAAAAATTAAATAATGGGTCTAACAATACAGTGTAGTTGATTCACCACTCAAACCCAAGTCTGAAGCCCAGGGTCCTAACTGTGCTGCTACACTGCCATCTAGTCACTATAAGAGCATCTGGTCACTTTTTTTTTTTTTTAAGATTTTTTTTTTCTAAAGATTTTATTTATTCATGAGACAACACACACACACACAGAGTGAAAGAGAGGCAGAGACACAGGCAGAGGGAGAACAGGCTCCATGCAGGGAGCCTGATGTGGGACTTGATCCCAGGACTCCAGGACCACGCCATGGGCTGAAGGCAGGCACTAAACTGCTAAGCCACCCAGGGATCCCTTTTTAAAAAGATTTTATTTATTTATTCATGAGACAGAGGCAGAGACATAGGCAAAGGGAGAAGCAGGCTCCTCACAGGAGTAGGGCCTGATGTGGAACCCGATCCCTGGACCAGGATCATGCCCTGAGCCGAATGCAGATGCTCAATCGCTGAGCCACCCAGGCATCCTGATCTGGTTACTCTTAAAATGACCATCTGGGTAGGGTGTACAGGATGATCCAGTGGGGCACAAGAGAAAAATAAAAATTAAAACGTATTTGTATTTAAAAATACTGAAAATCATTAACCTTTCCTGATAGCCATAACTTTTTTTTTGGTCCCCATCTCAGAGCATCAGAGCATTTATCTTGTCACCATTTGCATTGCTGAACTTCACCTTCTATTAAATTTTCTTTGCTCACTTGTCTCCATGTTTAGTGATATATCTTTTGAAAATCCCATCTGTCTCTGGTCTTTTAAGATGAAAGAAAAAGTACCTCAGTCTTTGACATCTGGGTCAAAGTTTTAAAGATGGGGAACGAGGAATCACAAGTTCCTAGATGCCTAGGTGCTGTTCCCTCACAGTAGGAGTATGAATCAAATGAAGGGACTCCAAGGAAGCGAAACAAAAGATACAGAGCTGAGGTGAGCACAGCCACTCCTCCCTGACCTGAACAGGCCCACAAGGAGTAGTGGTGCTAACATTTTGGGGGAAGAGCAGAAGAAAGACAGGGTTTTATTTTACATTTTTTGAATGATCCCAGCACCCAGTCCTCTCTCAAACTTAAACTGTTTCCATTACTACTTTGGTATATATAATACTTTTATGGCTTTTACCCTGAAATTTTATTTGTAATGGTTTTATGCCTTATTTCAACTAGACTGTCCCTCAAGAATAGACTCTTTTGCTCTCATTGTTGCCCTTAAGTCATTCTATGTAGTTCCTTGCAATGCATGCACATTTAAAAAATATTTGTTTGAATACAATGTATTTTCTGCCCCTTGTAGAAAGAGCAACAAATTTGTTATATGCCTGGTATTTCAACGCTTGGAAGAGCATGCCATTTATGAATTAAGAGACTGTCAAGTGATTTGTAAAACATCTGAATAAAAGAATGGGAGGACTATTACAGCAGCACAAGGTTAAAGTACAGAAATTATGTGTCTGCGAGTAAGTTACTTATATATCTCCCATTGCACTGTGTAATCAACCTACTTCTCCAGCAAATAATGTTTCATTGATATGCTTTCAGTGTATTCTCTACAACTGATTCATTGCCTAAGATCTCTTCAACGCTGATCAGCGTGGGTTTTGTTTTGCTTTTTGGTCCTTTGCCACTTTCAATAATGAAAGTTATCTTTCTGGTGGCACTGCAGGAAATGGAGATGGGATTTAGGTTTGGCCCAGCTGGATTTTTCAGTTAAATTCACTTATCAATTAATTTCTAAGTTGGAAGGGCTCTTTGAGATAATCTCATTCATTTACTTGGGACAAAACTGAGACCTAGTAGTGTTCTGTCCAAGATCATCCTGCAGTGGCAGAGAGAGCACTGGAAATGGTCTCTTAGTAGCACAACACACTTTCCACTGTATCCTCACAAACTCCCTTCACCACTCACAGGTTCAAGTCAAGCACAATTACCTTGCACAACCGAAAAATCCACCTGATGTCTGAAATCAGAAAGTTCAGAAACTGCAAGGAAAAGAATTAAGTGTGTGCAATCTTTTCCTAATGCATCCAAATCACTTTATTCACTAGGTTTTGAACACTAACCACCACCATCTTTGGTGGCGGGTTTGGGGGTGAGCAAAAGATCTGCAAACATTCAGGAACCTTAGTGAACTTGTCCCCGTAAGGAAAAAAAAAAAAGGCAACAACACGTGGAGCTTGATAACCTCGCGGGTCTTCCTCAGTTTACATTTTATGGTCTCCAAAAACTCAGTACAAAAAGCAAACAAACAAACAAAAAAAGCCCTCACCAGAAGGAAAGCAAATGTAAACAACTGAGGAACAAAAGCATCAGCCCAGGGGCTTTTTGTCCGCTATCCCCTGGGGTGAAAACCGAGGACAGGAGAGCCCAGGCGGGGCACGCAGCAGACAGACTGCCTCTTCCCGGTCCCAGAGGCAGATCCTCCTAGCTCGGAAAACAAAACGCCGTGCCCTTTTCGCTTGCCTCCGAGGTTGTCTCTGCAGGGAGACTGCGCGTACTCCCGAGGCTAAGATGCAGGTTGGGGACCCGGACCCTCCTCCATCCGCTGGGGTCGGTCGCGGCGAGGGGAGTCTCGCTATACACATCCACCCGTCCCTGCCCGTCCTCTCTGGTCGGACCCACGTCTCACCGTTAACGCCAGAGAGATCTGGGGGTGCTGGGACAAAAAGGGAGGTGACTGGGGGGTGGGGGTGTCAAAGGGTAGCACACTCAGAGCCACACCTCCAGCTAGCCGCAACCCTGAGTGCGCGCGCACGTCTGCGGCTCACAGAAGCCGGAAGTGCACCATCACCAACCTTTCGGGCACGGCCCTCCTTCTGGGTCCTCTCTAGGAAACGCGGGAGGACTGCGGCCTTGTCCTCCAGTCGCTGAGTCTGTCTTCGGAGATCTCTGGCCTCAGCTCAGCTTTTCCGCTTGGGATAAGGAGGCTTAGGTTTCGTTTGATACCAACCTACTCAAATACTTACACGTTTCTCCTCCTTTTTATTAGTGGCAGTAATCCTAAGAATTCTAGTTATTGGGGCACCTGGGTGGCTCAGTGTTTGAGCATCTGCCTTTGGCTCAGGTCGTGATCCCAGAGTCCTGGGATAGAGCCCTGCATCAGGGTCCCGCAGGGAACCTTTTTCTCCTCTGCCTACGTCTCTGCCATTCTCTGTGTCTCTCATGAATAAATAAAATCTTAAAAAAAAAAAAATTCTGGGCAGCATGGGTGGCTCAGCGGTTTAGCGCTGCCTTCAGCTCAGGTCCTGATCCTAGTGACCCAGAATCGAGTCCCACCTCAGGCTCCCGCATGGAACCTGCTTCTCCTTCTGCCTGTCTCTGCCTCTCTCTGTCTCACCCCCTGCCCCATGTCTCTCATGAATAAATAAACAATATCTTACAAAAAAAAAAAAAGATTTCTAGTTATTAACAAACAATACCACTGCTTAGTGATGGTGTCTCTATGTTAAGGACTGTAACAAAAATGTAGACAGAGGAATATAAAGGTCAAGAGTGAATGGTTTCACAAAACCAAAGTGGTTGTTTCTCGGGGGACTGCAGTATTTTCAAAAATTTCTCCTATAGGCAATAGACTTATTTAGTACTAGATAGTGGTGAGATTCTGAGCTTAGCTGAAGTTACCAGGTAGTTTTTGGCTTAAAAATAATGTAATTACTATAGTAAGTCCAATTTTGATGTCAAAATGTTATCACAATAGTTTTACTATTATTTTAGGAGAAGATCAAGCATTCTCATCTTTTATAAAACCATAAGTAAGACCTTGAAAAACTGACACACTCGAAATTCCAAGACAAATCTGAGCACAATGGAAAGCCTGCAAAAGAGCCACATGCTGCAAAGGTGACCAAAGACCAGGTGACATTCCGAGTAACATCCCAAGACTAAAATAATATCCCATTCTCTACGAGGTTTGACCTTGCTGTAGTTGTCATTGTTTTCTTTCTACTTCCCTATTGACTCTTCAATAAGTCACTTGAGTAGATCTTTGCTCCTTAATCACTGGCTGGCTCACTAAACTGTGGTCCTCCTTGAAGACTTCATAGTCCCAGAACTTCCTCTACATATTTCCTCAAATTTCCTTCCAGTGTTCCAAGTCATCTCTAAGGGCCACTACATTGTTATGCATTGTTTTTCTCATCTAAACCCTGCCCTCTCTCCTCCCCCCAATTCCTACACTAAAGTTCCTAAAAGATCCAGAAAGGTAGGTTATTGAAAGCAGATGGCTGTTTTTGTATTTATGTAGCGTGTATGGTAGGGACTGTGAGGGCTTTTATAATAACTCCATTCTTTGCTAGTGAGACTATCACTGGAACATTTAATGTATCTCCTAGAAGCAATGTTCTTCCTGAGAATCAGAGCCATAAGCCAGAAGACTCTAGGTTTGGAGACAGGAAGCACAAATTCCACAAGTGAGTTACTGCATATGATAGTAATAGCTCCTGTTTCAACACCATAGTATTTCTACTGGAGACAATATGTTACTGGTTCAATGAGTACCCACTTGGTCTTTCTATTGGAGACAAAACAGCATATATATGTTATTGGTTCAATGGGTATCAGTGCATAGACTTTATCCTAGAGGATAGCTCCCCAACTTTGCAAGGCGTAATTTAGCTGAGTCTCCATCATGTCATTTCACAGTTCTGTCAAGCAGCTGCTTCTGAGTGATGAGTAAGCACCACAAATTCTGTGGTTACAAACTCATTGCCAGATCTCCTTGACTATAAAATGGGTTCCTTGATTTGAGGTATGTCTAATGGATAAGGCATCCTATAAACCCTCAGATGATGGTGCTGGTGGAGACAAAGCACTTAGGGAAAACAAACCCATATTTAGAGAATGTGTCAAATCTGGTGTAACTATTTTCTTTCTTTTGTTAACTATCCACGTTTAGTGCAATGGTGGGCAAATGGGAAAGATTAGGGAAGCGCTCAATTCCTTGGGAATAGTTATTCATGTATTTTTCTTTAAAGCAATATAGTGGGGCAGCCCGGGTGGCTCAGCGGTTTAGCACCGCCTTCAGCCCAGGGTGTGATCCTGGAGACCCAGGATCAAGTCCCACATTGGGCTCCCTGCATGGAGCCTGCTTCTCCCTCTGCCTGTGTCTCTGCCTCTCTCTCTCTCACACATGAATAAAAATAAAATTAAAAAATAATAAAGCAATATAGTGTAAATGACAAATTTTATGCCACCTGTGTCATCTGAAGACCCACTGAAAGAAAATTTTGCTTAAAAAAGAATGTTTCTAACTACTTATTGTTAGGGATTGATGCCTCCTGAGAAGTGGACTCTTTTTTTAAAAAAAAGATTTTATTTGTTTATTTGAGAGAGAATGGAGGGAGGAGCAGAGGGAGAGGGATGAGCAGACTCCGTGCCCCACTGAGTCTGATCCCACGACCCTGAGATCACAACCTGAGCTGAAATTAAGAGTCGGATGCTCAACTGACTGAGCCACCCTGAGAAGCCGAATCTTAATTGAGTGCCCCCCTATTGTCCTCTCACTGGAGCAGTTTGCTGAGTCAGCTAAAACTTAAAACACAAAGGTACTACTGCCATAGTTTGCTCACCTCTGTTGCAGAAATGCAGCCGTTTAATAGGTGCCACTTGGGGAAATGGCAACTCAGAAAGAGCCCCAAACTTACAGTGATCCTAGAACATGAGAAAAGCTGTTAACAAAGAGGAGGAAGTAATATGCCATCTGCTTTCCCAGAGAGCCTAACAGGAACAATGGACATCACTAGGGGGTATATTTTTGTTCAACACAAGAAAAAGTTTCTAACGTGAGCTGTACAACAAGCAACTGACGGGACGCCTGGGTGGCTCAGTGGTTTAGTGCCTGCCTTTGGCCCAGGGCATGATCCTGGGGTTCCAGGATCAAGTCCCACATCAGGCTCCCTGCGTGGAGCCTGCTCCTCCCTCTGCCTATGTCTCTGCCTCTCTCTCTCTGTGTCTCTCATGAATAAATAAAATCTTTAAAAAAAAAAAGCAATTGACTAAGCAGTGCATCTTCTTTGATGCTGACTCCACTATGCTGGATACTGTAGACTGGAGATTGTGTCATACTACTAAGTTGCATTAGATTAATGACAGTCAAGAAGGAAAAAAAAGGAAAGGCACATCAATCGCCAAGAGGCTGATGGAATTGGAAAAAGTAAGTAGAATGCTACAGTTTTGCCTTTTCTTATATTTAATTTGAAATGTCAAATGGCACTAAAGGATATTTGATTTATAAACTTAAACAAAGGACTAATATCTAAAGACCCTTGCAAATCACGTTTAAATTCTTTTAAAAGTCTTGCTAGTCCCTAGGAGATCCAGTTCCACCACAAGACATCACATTCTCTTAAGGACCTGGGAGGTCACAGTGTCCTCAGGGTTCCTGTTCTAGCACCCAGCCTACCTGTCCTACTCCTTCCTGCTTTACCTATCCGTTTCTGTATAGTCCAGTCGTTCCACCAGGAATGCAGTGGTCTTCCAATCTCAATTTCTCTCAAAAACTGATTTCCTCGGGATCCCTGGGTGGCGCAGCGGTTTAGCGCCTGCCTTTGGCCCAGGGCGCGATCCTGGAGACCCGGGATCGAATCCCACGTCGGGCTCCTGGTGCATGGAGCCTGCTTCTCCCTCTGCCTGTGTCTCTGCCTCTCTCTCTCTGTGTGTGACTATCATAAATAAATAAAAATTAAAAAAAAAAACTGATTTCCTCAATGCCCTGTCCCTTCCTCCAAAACATTAATAGACTCTGATCCTATGATTTTCTGTGGTCCTCATACCACACAAGCGCCTTCCACTCTAACTTTAATCAGTTGTATTTAGGGGCGCCTGGGTGGCACCATCCTTTAAGCCACCGACTCTTGGTTTCCCCTCAGGTCCGATCTCAGGGTCCTGGGATCCAGTCCTGCAACAGGCTGTGCACTCAGCACTGACTCTGCTTGAGAGTCTCTCCCCCCCCTCCATCTCTCTAAATAACTTTTTTTTTTTTCTAAGATTTTATTTACTTGTGAGAGACACAGTGAGAGGCAGAGACATAGGCAGAGAGAGAAGCAGGCCTCCCGCAAGGAGCCGGATGCCGGACTCAATCTCGGATGCCGGGATCACGCACTGAACCAAGGGCAGACGCTCAGTTGCTGAGCCACCCAGGCGTCCCTAAAATAAGTAAATCTTTAAAAAAATCATCAGTGTATTTTGTAGCCCTGTGCTGGTTCCCCACCCGCGGACTTAAGAAAGTCGGACCTTGAGGTCAACACTCCTCCTCAGCCCTGGACCCACACCACGTGGGCGGGTCACCATCCTCCGGCCAATCTCGAGGGCTGGCTGGAGCCAGGGAAGGGCCAGCGGGGACGCTTTCCCAAATTTGGAGCTGTCGCGCTCATTACTGGTATACTGGCTACAGAGGCTGCCAGCGGGGTCAGCACCGAGAGTGGCTCAGGCCGAGAGAAGTACATGGAAAAGCCACACACGCGCAGGACTCCTGGGTACCTACCCCTCATCCGGGGCCCTCATCCGGGGCCCTCATCCGGGGCCCTCATCCGGGGCCCTCATCCGGGGCTCGCTTCCGCTCACCGCCATCGGACTCCTCCTCCGGAAGTGCCACTGAGAAGCGCCGTGCTCCAGGCTATCTAGAGCGACCCGGGAAAGTCTGGGGCTGCCCTTAGAGCGAGAGTGTCTGTGACGGGACGGCCGCTTGGCCAGCCCCTCCACTCGGGTGAGTCCCCGGCAGCCGTTCGGGGTCGCGGTGGGCGTCGCCGTTAGTTTAGGCTCCCGGGAAGGAGGGGGAGGGGCAGGTCCCGGCCGAAGGCGGTTCCCGTCCCCAGGAGCGCTCCGGGGCCGAGGTGCGAGGACCTGTTTCTCTTCAGTCAGGGTTCACCCTGACGCCCCGCGGACTGAGGGTCTTGCTGCCGGGGCCCGGTGACCCTCCCCGGGGGCGAGCCGGGTCTCAGTGGCCCGCCTCGCTCTTTTGGGGGCGCGTCTTCACCGAACGGGGAAGTGGGAGGAGGGCAGCGCCGGGCGAGGCCTTCCGAGGGTTGGGCGCCGCGGCCCTTTCTGAGGGTTGCGGAAGCGGGCGGGAGCCCGGTGGCGTCCTTGGGTTTGAAGGACACGAGCGAGACCTGTTAGAATCTCAGCCCTTCCCCGGATCCCTGTCAGGGCGGTGGGAAGCGGCCCGCCCAGCTCGTCTGCGTTGGCGGAGGGTCTGACATCTTCCCCCGCCCCCAGAGTGGAATTTTGTTTTTAGGCAAGCCCATTTAGTTATTCAAAGTGGGCCGGCAGAGTGTTTGCCAAATAATTCCTCGGGGGCCTGCTTCCAGGAAAAAAAAAAATCATAATTAGCATATTTCTCTGGTACAAACTTGAACTTTGAAAGAGGTTTGTACGTTTCACATACTTTAAAGATTTTTAAAATTTTATTTTTTCATGAGAGACACAGAGGCAGGCAGAGACAGGCAGAGGGAGAAGCAGTCTCCCTGCGGGGAACCAGATGCGGGACTCTGTCCAAGGACCCCGGGATCACGCCCTCAGCCAAAGGCAGATGCTCAACCACTGAGCCATCCAGGCACCCCTCAGATATTTTAAACTTTCCTCAGAAATCTTCTCACACTATTAAGTTGTACGTTCTTGAGTTTTATTTTTTCATGAAATACCACAAATTCTGAATTAGTGGAGTTGAAATAAAGCTGCATACTTGGACCGTATGATTCGGTTCTTAAATATTTGAAACTGAGGAATTTCCATTTTTCTTTCTGTTGTTTTATTTAGGTGGTTAGTCGTTAACAATTGTTTTTTATTGAGTATGGACAGGATTTGCGATACTTTGCTAAGTCCTGAGGATGTAAAACCATGGGTTGCCTTAATGTAGTACAATAAATTCTCGCAATCTCACCCAGCAGTGATGGTCGTTGTCCTCCAGAACAGGGATGGAGGAAATATCTGCCCAGGAAGCAGCAGGATCACCAATTGTCCAGTTTCAGTCTTTGGAGAGCCCATCTGAGGGTCTGTCCCCAGAGCCTCTGTTCGAGCAGGACACCGACATGGAACAGGAGCTCAATGGGGGTAAGGCAAAGAGAACACGTAAGCCCAAGAGAATGGGGGATACAGTGGGGCTCCTGGGCCTGGTATGAGAGAGGCCAGGAACTTCAATAAGAAGATGGCTCCTAGGGGAGGTCTGGAAGGGGAGGGACAGTTGTGACTCAGTTCAGTCTGGGCTCTTCTATTAAGGATAGCCCCTCTTTCTTAAATAGGCAGAGTGGGTGGACGTTTCACTCTGCTCTGGCTTTTGTTTTCATTTGTAAAACCTTGACTTTATCCCAGTTTCACATCCAGAAAAATTTCTAAGATATGCTGCTTTTGCTGCATCTCACAATCCTTGCCTTGCTTTTACTTCCTCTTAGATTTACGGCTTGTCTCTCCCCCTGTTCCCTTCCCTTAGTTTCTTTCCTCCTTGATGACTTTGTGAGCTTTGCCACTTGCCATTCTGTTGTAGCTGCAATGTTTGTGACTAATCTAATTTTGGCCAAAAAAGCAACCATTTAATTCCTTGGTTGAGCACAACTCCTGTAGTGTACACATATCACATATTGACTCCACAGTAACATCTTTATGTATCATATAGATAGGTTGACATGTCTTTACTTTTTTTGTTTTGTAAGAACCTTGTCTTAGATTGTTTGTGGCCCACTGCAGTGCCTGAAATAAAATGTGTCAGCAACACCACTTAAATGCCACAGTATTGTGGGGCATTGTGGGAGTGTGGAAAAGGTTGTGAGGAAACATGACCATTCCTAATCTTTGGAGCCTCTCACACTGGTTGCAGGGACAGTGCCCATTCACGATGAAGGCTCACTGAAATTTACAGAGCAGTGTGTGGGAAAGCATCAGAAATCAACTAAATCATCATTGCTCTGGACAAGTCACTGCAAGTCTTTATGCTTTGCTTTGCCCATCTGCAAAACAGGTATAGTGGGTACCCTCCTGTTTAGAGGAATATCCTGCCATGAGAATAAAGTGAAATATGAGATTTCATAAGAAAGTCTTGTATCTTGGTCTACACATGGGTAGGGAGGGTAGGCCAATGCTGAGAAGGAGCAGAGTAAGTACACTCAGTACCTGATAAATGTTCATTGGTTTACTAGAATGTTGATGTGAAGAAGGGTCCCACTGACTCCCTCTTCTTTCAGGGAGCCCTGGCGGAAGGGTTGCTCTCACTCTTGGCTCCTTTCTCCTCCCTCAGCTCCACCTGTTCCCCAGGTGCCTGCTCTTCCCCATGAGGGAAGCCCAGGAGACCAGGCAGCTACGCTCCTGACAGCCAGGTACCAGGTGAGCTGAGGAACCCTCTGCTTTTCCTCAGGGACTGTTGCTATTGATCGAGTGTGGCCCTTCCCTCATCCCATCCATAAACCCTGCCTTGAAGTTTTTTCAGTAGCAGACCCCAGTTTGGGAATTGATCCTCTGCAGAGACCTGGACTTCACACAAATCACCTTCCCATCTCCCCACGACCACCAGTAAACACTGTTCCTTCTCTATCCCTAGTGCTGTGATGGGTGCTTATTAGATGTTAAAGATTATGGAACTCATTCCCAAGTTTCTAGTCTGTTTTCCCTCCTCCCTAGCTTTGCTACACACTGGAAACCCTCTCTGTGTCATCATTTTGTTCTTCATTTTCTGGCCATGATACTGTGTGGCCTCATTCCCCAGAGCAGCCAGGCTGTGTTATTTCAGGAGTTTGTGACATTCGAGGATGTGGCTGTGCACCTTACTCGAGAGGAATGGGGATGCCTGGACCCTGTTCAGAGGGATCTCTACAGAGAAGTGATGTTAGAGAATTATGGGAACGTGGTCTCACTGGGTAAGGACTTTCTTATTATTCAGTTTACCTATTAGGATTTCTTTACTTCCTTGTTTCTGAGGAGGTTGCAAGGTCTCTGAGAAAGTGGAGTGTGGCTCAGATTCCAGGTCTTAGAACCTCTGAATCCTCCATCTTCAAGGTCATCTCCTCTGGGAGTGGGTTTTCTCTGGGGGTTTCAAGATGAGACATTTTATTTCTTATCTTTAATTAATGCTTCCTATTTTCATGGGGCATCTGTTTCCTATAAGAAAAGAGAAACTTGCTTGTGCTTTGCCTAAGTTCTCACCTTCCCTATCTTTTCCTCTTTTTTGAGAGAGATCCTAGAGCCTCCCAGTCCACAATTAGACAGTTTCCTTCCTAGTAATTCAGTGCCCCTGTATCTGGAAGTTTTACATTTTCCTTGGAAGAAGAAGTGCCTTTTTTAAAAGATAGGCTAAAATCCTTGTTGAATAATCCTTTACCTCTTGACATCCCTAAATTCATCTCCAAGCAGGAAGAGTTTGAGAGACTTCATTTAGAGACCTGACTCACTGCGAGTCTATTTCAGTGAATCATTCAGATGGTAGTCCTAAGTAACCTCACCCGGAGCAGCAGAAGTTTCAGCTTTAAACCGAGTTTCTCCTTTATCATTTGGATGGTACAGTAGGCTCTTGCAATTAGGCACTAGTGCTCTAGTGCAACATCAGTGGGGCTGTTGGCAGCTCCCTTTGATGTGATCATTCTCCTTTTCCTTTTTTTTTGCCTGTCTTTGCTTCTGCTTTTTTAATTTTTTAAATGTCTGTATGTATTTAATCACACTTTTTCTTTTCTCTCTCTCTCTTTTTTTTTTTTTTTGGCTTTGCCTATGCTGGTGGCATCCTGGGTGTTCCTTTGTCTCCTTGATTACGCTCAGGATGAAAGAAATCTTTTTACCTGTGGGGAGGCACCCTGCCCACTGGGAAGGTTTTTAGTGTGTTTCCCATTCCTGGCTCTTTGATCTTTGTAGGCATACTTCTCCGCCTTCCTACCACCCGGATTCATAGTGTGAATTCCTGCCCGGCCCTGAGTCATACCCAGGCAAGTGCTTTCTCTGGAGAAACACTTGCGGTTCTTTCAGCAGGAATCTCCAAGAGATGGCCCAGGTATCGGCTTCCCATCGATATTGCTCGTCCCTGCTCGGAAACCCCTTTTCCACGATTGTAAGATATTATACTTGATTGATGCTCTCAGGATGCCACCACTGTGTAAAATTGCAGCTCCTCAGATGACCTTTGTTAAATTTCTGAAGGGCCAAGGAGGCCCTGTTGCAGCCAAATACAGTTTGAACCTGAATTCTGAGTTCATTCATAAGCCACGGTTGGTGGTCATCTACTTGTGTTCTGAGAAACCACAGAGTTCAACTCCAGTTCTTCAGTTATGATCTTTTCATGTTGTTTTAGAATGTGGAACATATACTGTGCACCCCCACCCCTTTTCTGTAGTGAATATGACCTGCCCCTCCTATTGTCTGACTTTCCTGCAACCCCTGGGCTTTCCTCATATTTAACACTCCAGTCTTCTCCTTTAAGTCCCCATGGCCCCCTCCAAGGCCCTGACTTTATCCCCTTTATTCTTCATGGTGCTATACAGATTGATGCATTTGAATGACCTTTCCTGATCAAGTGTTCCTTAGCTCTGTCCTTGATGGATGGGAAATGGGAGGGCAAAGAGTTTAATTTCTTTATTTCAGGGTATGAAATTGAATGTATATTTAACAACTTTGTAAACTGTAAAGTGATGTAATTGTAAACTACTGTTAATTTTATCTAATAATTACATAATTTCCAACAGTTAATCTGTCTACTTTTTGGAGTAAACAAACTTTTTAGCACTTTAATTAGCCTAGTAGCACAGTGTGCTATTAGACTGAACTTTATCCCATTTCCTGTGTCATCTCTGTATATATACAGGACATGCATGCACACACACAGACTGGCTACAAACACATACAAGAAACTCTCCTGTTTACCTTACTTTTGTGACCAAGCCAGCATCTTTTTAGTAATTATTTTTTATAGTCCTTAGGAAGTTGTTTTCATATTTGTGGGCTCAGCAAACTCCACCTGATGTGTAAGTTTATACACTTATTTAGCTTAATATTTGGTGTTGTAAAATATGGACATTGTAATTCAGTTCCTGACTTACCAGCCCCACTGTCAGGTTCACATCTTTTTCCTTCGGTAGTAGCTCAATTGTATTTGTCACAGACATCAAAACTTTTTTGTTTGGGTAAGTGCTTCTACTATTTAGTAGTAAACATACAGAGTATAAGCAGCTGAGTAAAAGAATAAAGTAAGTAAAAAGTCCTATTTTTCATTACCAAATCTAAAAAGAATCATGTTCTATTGACAGCGAATGAATTACTGACTTGAGGGTCATACCCAAAGGGAATTTATCTGTGATTTAGTGCTGGAGGTTAAGACCAGGAAAGTGGCCTGGATTGCATTTCACACAGGGTCATTGTGGCTGGTACCTTATTAGATGATATCAGAAAACATGCCTATCAGAATTCTAACTGTTAAGGAAGTTGATAAATCAGGAAATGTTTGGCACATAAACCTTTGCTTTTCGAAGTTGATGTCATTAGGACAAAAATGATTTTGTATAGAATGTCTTTTACTGCCATGGCTATTTACTGTTTATTGAGAGCCAATTTGTTACAAGGTACTATACATAGCTCATTTAATCCTTACCATAACCCTGTGAGCAGATGTTATTCTATTTTATACCTGAGGAGACTGAGGCTCAAAAGTTAACTGATCTGTGCAGGGTCAGAACTAGGCATAGGGACACCTTGGTGGCCCAGCGGTTGAGCGTTCACCTTCGGCTCAGGTCGTGATCCTGGGGTTTGGAATCAAGTACCACATTGGGCTTTCCACAGGGAACCTGCTTCTCCCTCTGCCTGTATCTCTCTCTGCCTCTCTTTCTCTCTCTGTGTGTCTCTCATGAATAAAGAGATAAAATCTTAAAAAAAAAAAAAAACTAGGCGTAGGACTCAGATCTGAATCTGAAGCTCATGCTCTTTTTCATTGTTTTGCCCCTTAGGACAATTAGTCCAACCACATATGGTGGGGTTTTTGTTTGTTTGTTTTATTTTTTATTTTTTTTAAAAGATTTTATTTATTTATTCATGAGACACATAAAGAGAGAGAGAGGCAGAGGGAGAAGCAGGCTCCATGCAGGGAGCCCGACGTAGGACTCAATCCTAGGGCCCCAGGATCATGCCCTGGGCTTAGGGTGGCACTAAACCGTTGAGCCACCCGGGCTGCCCTGTTTGTTTGCTTTAAAGCTTTATCTCTCTCTCTATCTCTTTCTCCTTTTTTTTTTTTTTTAAGATTTTATTTATTCATGAGAGACAGAGAGAGAGAGAGAGAGAGAGGCAGAGACAGAGGCAGAGGGAGAAACAGGCTCCATGTAGGGAGCCTGATGCGGGACTCGATTCCGAGTCTCCAGGATCATGCCCTGGGCCGAACTGCTGAGCTACCTGGGCTGCCCTATCTATCTCTTTATTTAAAGAGAGAGAACAATGGGGAGGGGCAGAGGGAGAGAAAGTCCCAAGCTGACTGTGCTCAGCACAGTGCTCAATGTGGAGCTTGATCTCACGACCCTCTCAGATCATGGGCTGAGCTGAAACCAAGAGTCAGACACTCAACCCACTGTGCCACTCATGGGCTCCACATATGATTTTTTAATATTCTTATGGCTTTATACTCTGATGACAATTAGAAATTTCATAGCCATGAAAAATTGGACAGTTGGGTATTAAGTTGTACAGTTTGTGAGCAGAAAGAACATGCATTCGAGAAGAAATAAAATCGTCTAGGGGTACGTTCCATTAAATCTACACAAGAACAGTATTACCAAGGAGGGATTTTATTTGTATATTAAGGACCAAGAAGAAGGGCATAGAGCTTTCATAAAGCTTCCTTGGGTTGGTGTCAAGGACTAAATTAGATTAAATTATGTGTGTAAGTACCTGGCTTACGGTAGTTATTTAAATGAAATTTTGGAAAGGACTTCAAGTGATAAGAGCTAGAGATAAGATTTAAAAATTATTTAAAAAAATTTTAAAGTAGGCACTATGCTCAGCATGGAGCCCAGCATGGGGCTTGAACTCATAACCCTGAGATCAAGGCCTGACCTGAGATCAAGAGTCAGATGTTAACCAGCTGAGCCACCCAGGTGCGCCAGATCAGATTTTTTAAAACAAATTTCAGGACTGTGTTCAAATTATTTTTTTATAGTGGAATTTCCTCAAATTGAATATTACTCATACTTTTGTGTAGGAGTTGGATTTTTTTTTTTTATAAATGTGTGTGATTTTTTTTAAGTTTTTATTTATTTATGATAGGCACACAGTGAGAGAGAGGCAGAGACACAGGCAGAGGGAGAAGTAGGCTCCATGCACCGGGAGCCCGAGGTGGGATTCGATCCTGGATCTCCAGGATCGCGCCCTGGGCCAAAGGCAGGCGCTAAACCACTGCGCCACCCAGGGATCCCAGGAGTTGGATTTTTAAAGAGACTTTCATTTCTTTGATAATGAGTCATATTTTTGTGTCCTTTTTAAAATTTTAATTTTTTTTAGAAATATATATATATATATATATATATATATATATATATATACACTTAGATTTTTATTTATTTATTCATGAGAGTTACAGAGAGAGAGGCAGAGACATAGGCAGAGGGAGAAGCAGGCTCCATGCAGGAAGCCTGATGTGGGACTTGATCCCAGGACTCCAGGATCATGCCCTGAGCCAAAGTCAGATGCCTAACTGCTGAGCCACCCAGGCATCTCTTTTTTTTTTTTTTTTTTTTCAGGCATCTCTTTATTTTATTTTTTTAGATTTTATTTATTCATGAGGGACCTAGGCAGAGGGAGAAGTAGGCTCCTCACGGGGAGCTTAATGGGAAACTCAATCCTAGGGCTTTGGGAAATCGACCTGAGCCAAAGGCAGACACTCAACCTCTGAACTACCCAGGTGCCCCTTAGTTTCCTTTTAATTAGAATATCCTTGACTCCAAATCTGTTGAATCCTGACTTTCTGTGTATTAATCTAGTGACCTGTTCTTTTTATTATTTTTACCTTTTACTCCATCGTCAGTATGTTGATCTTCTGTTGTTTTTCTGTATGTATTTTGGAGGAAGGGATAGATTTCATTCACAATCATTTTTTACTAGTAGACTATGTAAAAGCCAGGTTCTGAAAGATTGTTTGGGTTTGAGGCCTAGCTTCACCAATTACTGTGACCTTGAGCAAGTTACTTAACCTCTCAATCTTAGTTTTATTATTTGTACAATGGTAGTTTCTACTTCTTAAAGTTATGATGAGTATTAAGTTATTGACAATCTGGAAAGTTCTTGGTGTGGTCCTGTGGTCCTTTACACCCACTACATGTGCAGTACACCTTAACTTAATATTTTAATTAGACTGATGATAGAGCTGATTTTAAGTTTGTATTTCAAACCCTGTTCTCTCATTGACACTGTAGTCTTTTACCTCGCACTGCCTACTAGGGATTTTCTCTTATTCCTCCCTGCATTAACTTAAACACAGTCTAAAACCAAACCTATCTTTCCATGTGGAAACCATCTTTTTTTTGTTGTATCTAGGTGATATAGGTGTAGATATAGAATAACCAAAATTTGCTTCGGTTATCAAATACTTAGAAACACTTTAATATCTGAGTAAAAGTAACAAATTCTGTTAGAATTCTGAGCAGAATATTTGCTGCTTCATGTCACACTTTTTTTTAAAACTTGCAAAACTTTCATTTGACTCGAAGGACCTCAACTAAATAAGCATCCAAGCATCCAAAAGAGGGAATAGACAATTAATGCCCAGCAGGAATTCAGAAACACAGTAAATGCCTTATATCTGTTCTGCTCTGTCTGTTCATAGTCTCTCACATGGAATTCCAAGAGGACAGCTGTTGGTTTGTCATATTTTCCAGGCCCAGCACCCTTTTAGAAACTGGTTATCTGTTATATGTTGACACTAGGACACAAAATTGGCGCTCAATAAGTAGGTCTTAAGTAAATAAATCCGAAGTAGTATAAGATACATGGTCTGTTCTAGTAAGAGTTTATAAATGAAGTAGGGATGATAATTCCTGAAACCAATTAAATAAAAATCTATAAACTCCATTATATAGTGACATGTCAGGATAAGGGGAACGAATAATAAATTGTGTAGACATTGAGTACGTGGGGAGAAAGGCTTTTGGAATTGACAAGCTTGAGCTAGTCCTTGTATGTGTGCTACTAGAAGATTTCTGGGCTGAAGACATAAAAACTGCCCTTTTGATACTATAATAGTTCTGCCCCCTCAGGATCAGACTGCTTCTTGCTTTTGCTTTAAAGGAGATTAGATCCTAAGAGTCCATTATGTAAGTCAAGAAAGACCATTTTTATTTGAAAGTTCACATTTATTGCACTTTCTCTCTATATTGGATTATAGTTGGTTGTTTTTCTATTTTTACATACTTTCCATATGGGAGACCCCCCCATAGATGTTTGTTGAATAAACAAAAGTGTAAGCTTCTAATTGGTAAGAATGTGTTATGCTATTTTGTTTTTTCGTATGCCCTGAAGTGAATTGAGATTGGTGAAGTTTCTTGAGATTGGTTCTTAGAATATATATTCAGTCTTCACTGATTCTTTTGCTCCAGTTTAGCTCACCACACAGCATGTGCTTAAGTATTCACCTTCTTCCAGTCCAGTGAAGTTATATTTTGATGACTTCCCTTTTGATCAGGTCTAATACTTGTAGACCAGTTCTAATACAAAAATTAATCAATCTATAGGCAACAGCTGAAGAGTAAATATGATCACTTCTGTGAAGACAGGTACATACCCATGCTCAAATTCCCTTGTTTGAATAATGTATAAATGAATACTTCTCCCAAAGTCATCAATGCCCTGTAACACACCTCTTTCCGGAGCACAAATAAGAGCTCCTTGTAGAGGATCTTTGCCCTTCTCACTCTCCAGGGCTTCCCTAATGTCTTCTAAGAATTTACTTTCTCTATCTACTAACCATTAGTTAAAAGAAAAAATGGCTTGGTATAGTGTCTGGGGATAAATTGCCACATCCCATTTCCTTCTCTGTGAGCAGGATTTCCATTTTCCAAGCCTGATGGGATCTCCCAGCTGGAACAAGATCTACAGGTCTTTGATCTGGAAACTAAGAATAGAGAAGTCTTAAGAGATGACTGCTCAGGTGAGTAAGGTAGAATCAATTAGATGGAATTAGGGAAGTAAGAGTCCAGTTGTTGAGCCAAGTTGTAGCTGCTTTAGCAAGCAGAATGAAGAGCTCTGTCTCTATACCAGATGGAGAGCTCCTTCCTTTTCCCTTCAGTTCTGATAAATTCTTTACATTTATTTTATCCCTTATCATCTAAAAGTTATACTGAGTCCCTTATTCAAGTTGCTTATCTATAATTCTTTTGTACTACTTCCCTATTAGCTCCTTTGAAACACTTTATTTGGTTATCTTCTTACTCTGCCGAAAATGTCCTCTGTTTCTACCATACCCTGAACCATTTGGATATTACCTTTCTGCTCCTATTCATGCCCTTAACATCTGCTGTTGAGATTTTGTGCCTGTGCTTCAGAGTAGATAAACTTCTCTCATTTTAGTAGATTCTAAGTTATTTAGTTTTCTCCTCTCGAGTTTTTTTTTTTTCTTTTTCCCCCTAAGCACAGGGTACAGATTACATTTGCATTTTCTATTTATATATTGAATTAGATGGAGAGACCAGAGAAGAGAACAAGCTGTTGATTCCTAAGCAGGAAATTTTGGAAGAAGTACATTCATACAGAGTGAGAGTAGGAAGACTCAAAAAGGATATTGTCCAAGTTCCTGGGACTAGAGAAGTGTCTAAACCTGAGGACAGATTAGAAAGGCTTCAGGAAATCCTAAGGAAATTTCTCTTCCTGGAGAGAGAGTTTAGGCAAATAACAATCAGCAAGAAAACTTTCACCAGTGAGAATAATGAATGTAATGAACCTGAAAAAAGCTTCAGTCTGGACTCTAGCCTTGATACAGATCAGAGAGTTCTTAGAATACAGAATATTGATGATAGTGATAAGTATGACATGGGTGTGAACCAGAATTCAGCTGCTGGTAAACAAGAACAAATAAATCTAATACAGGATGTCCAGAGTACTGAATATAAGGAAAGCTTAATGGATCTCTCCCACCTTAGTAAATGTGAGAGCATTCCTGCCACGGAGAAATCCTATAAATGTGATGCATGTGAGAAAGTCTTCCATCAGAGCTCTGCCCTTTCTAGACATCAGAGAATTCATACTAGAGAGAAACCCTACAAATGTAAAGAATGTGAAAAATCTTTCAGCCAGAGTTCGAGTCTTAGTAGACATAAGCGAATACACACTAGAGAAAAACCCTATAAATGTGAAGCATCTGATAAATCTTGTGAAGCATCTGATAAGTCATGTAGTCAGAGCTCAGACCTAATTCCACATAAGAGGATTCACACTAGAGCAAAATCTTACAAATGTAGTAATTGTGAGAGAGTTTTCAGTCGCAGTGTGCATCTTAGTCAGCATCAGAGGATTCACAGAGAGCTGCCCTGTAAGTGCACTGTCTGTGGCAGTGACTTCCATCATACCTCACACCTTGTTGAACATCAGAAAGCCCATTGCGAAGAGAAAGCCTATGAGTTCAACGATTGTGGGTTGACCTTTGTTAAACATCAAGGAATTCATCTCAGAGAAAAGCCCTATACATGTAAGGAATGTGGAAAAGACTTCAGATTGAATTCCCATCTTATTCAGCATCAGAGAATCCACACGGGAGAGAAACCCCACGAGTGTAGTGAATGTGGAGAAGCTTTTGGTCAGACTTCATGCCTTGTTCCACGTCATAGAATTCACGGGAAAGAGAAGTCCTATGAGTGTCATGATTATGAGGAAAGTTTCAGTCAGAGCTCAAACCTTGTTCTTCAGCAGGAAGTCCTCCCTAGAGAAAAAGCCTTTGATTGTGATGTGTGGGAAAAGAACCTCAGTCAGAGAGCACAGCTTGTTCAACATCAAAGAATTCATACCAAAGAGAAACCTTATGAATGTGCTGAACGTGGGGAGACGTTTAGTCACGTTCAGGCTGCATTCAACATCTGAGAGTTCACACCATGGAGAAATACCATATGTGGTGAAGGTGGTGAAGCCTTCAGTCCTGGCTCACCCTTTAATCAGCATCAGAGAATCCACACCAGAGAGAAACCCTCTGAATGTGATAAATATAGGAAAAGTTTGTCAGCATTAAACTTCATCAACTTCCACAAACCCATATCAATAAGAAAACCTATGGATACCTTGTATGTGGCAAATCTTTCATGCTGTTTTCATATCTTAGTCGCCATTGGAGAATTCTTACTGAAATAAAATTCCACAACTGTAACAAATGTGAAATACCTTTCAGTCAAAGATACTACCTTGTTCAGCATCAAATTCATTCTACGGAAAGAATTCTGTGGAAAGTCTATGAATGTAATAAGCGTGTATGTGCATGGGAGGATTCAGTCATCTTCCACCCCTTATTCAACAAAGAGTCCATGCCCAGGAGAAGCCAGTCAAGTGTAGCAAATTTGACAAGTCTTTCAGTGGGAGTTCAAGTCTTTCTCATTGTTAGAATCTCCACACCAAACCAGAATCTGGTACAATGCAAATGGCACGATGTACCTCCACATTTCAGGCTTTACTCAACATCAAAATACTGGAAAGAGAATTTTATATCAGATTGTTAATATATAGCCCTGATCTTTTTCATTGCAAAAGAAGATAGTCTGAGGAGACTTGGTGAATGCAATGCTGTTTCCTCATGGCATTCTTTTATTTAATAGGTGGTGTAAGTAGGTATATAAGCTATTTATGGAACTCATTTAAACTATTTTTTTAAATATGGCCTATAAATGTTTTTATTTTTCCTGAAATTTGGTTCCTGTTACAGCTTCTCCAAAATATTGTTGATACACCAATGTAAGAACATAATTAACTTCTGGAAAGTAGCTCATTTAGCTTTTTCCGCTGTTCTCAGCCCAAGTTCTCTCCAAAACAGACTCTTAGGTCTACTGTTTCCTGAGCATCCTACTTCCTGTTCCTTTCCAGCCACAACATTTGGATTCCTGTTGATTTCTCCATCTTCTTAGCACCTTCAAATGATGGTTTTCTAGTTTTAAGCTTCTCATCAGCAGGTATGCCGCCCCTACTTGGTGTTGGTGTTCTTGTGTCTTCTTTCCTAAAGTGAAGCATCTTCCTTTAAAAAGAATTGGATTTCCACATCCACAAGTTTGAAGGATTCTGTCTCCCCTGTGTTTGTGGCAGGTGGCTAAACATTTTCAAACGACACCCAAGTTCTTAGCTGCCATGTCTGCATCCACAGCCCTCTAAAAGAGATGATAAGGACATCAGGGAGCCACAAGACTCCTGGTGGTCTAGCTACATTCACTCAGCACCTGTTCTGCATGTCAAATTTAGAATTATTTAATACTCTTCTGTTGAAGGCCAGCAAAATGCTCGGGTCTACTTTTGATAGGGGAAAATATAAAGAACATATACAAAAAATAACTTCATAAGGGAATGCAGCTTCTCAAAAAAGAAATTACTGTTCTTCTGTAATCTCTAGAGAGAGTAATTCAAGAACGTGGCAGGTCTGTTCCTGGTAAAATTTTAACCACTATGATTGCTTCTTTATCTGTTTGGATTTTTGCCCTCTCCACCCACTCTCCCTCATCAATCCTGGACTATATTTGAATCGTGGGGGTTTTGTGTATAGTTGTTTATTCATCACATTTTCTGTATTTTATGAGTCTACAGGCCTTATAAAAGAACTTGGGTTTTTTGATTGATAAAAGTGATCACATGTCAGGATGCCCAGACTTCAGGATCACTGTCAATACCTAGTCAAGAATTCATGATTATTTAGACAGGTGTCAAAACATTTTATTGTATTTTTCCATCTTAAGCTTCATAACATTTTGTGAATAAGGCAAGGGTTACTTAAAATTCCTACTATCATTCCAGCAAGTGAGGCCTTCATAGTTCAGATATTATAATATTCATTAGGGATCCTCAACAAATATATAAAAATTTATTGCTTCTTCTATAAGCCTCTTATGGCTAAGCTCTAAGATAGTTCTACCACCGTATTTTACCTCTTAGCCATCAGCAAGCATAGGATCTTATCAGGTGCAAGTAGAGATCTAAATGAATTTATTTAAATGTAAAAGCAAATGAAAAATGCATGTTTTTTCTCTTTATTTCTGTGTATGCCCTTATGTACAGAGACCAATGGTCACTTCTGGTGATTATGAAGCAGATTAATTCCTAAATAGCAGAATATGTAAAAATCACATGTATGCATTTGGTTTAGGAATGTGCTTTTGTACTTCCACTTGAATAAAGGTGTGTTTGATACTCAGAATCTGTTTCAAAAAATATCTAAAGGCCTCAGCCGGAAGCATTTTGAAACTTGGAGTCACTTTCCTGGCTGTGACACATTTCCTCCCAGAAACCTCCTTCATGACAAGAGTGGAGTGGATCACCATCCTTCATACTGATACAGAGCTTGCTTTTCCACAGACTTCTGGAACAGTCTGAATGTTTAGGATTCTAAAGGTTATTTGATTGGGCTGTTGTTGACACATAAAAATTTTGAGGTTTTGGTAGAACTAGGCAGAATTTTTTTTTTTTTTTTTTTTTTTTTTTAGGCAGAATTTTTTTAAAATAAGTAAAACATTAAAAAAAAAATGAGAAGCCAGAATAATCCTTGAGGACAATTAACTTGTCTCTTTAAGCCTGGAATATTTAATCAGTCCAATATAACAGGAGTTTGTGTTTCTAGTCTTTTTATCTTGAAAATTGGGGAGGGAAGAGAAGAAATCTAATAGCTGAGGTACACCAAATGTCTGTCTTCTGTCCACCTACCTACATGGATATGTATGTATGTTCATATTTAAACTTAATCCTCACAACTCTTCAAGGGAACTAGCTCTCTTTTACAGAGGAACTGAACTGTAGAGAGACTGAAGAATCTGTTATGGTCACCCAGCAAGTTAATGGCTCAAGTCAGGCCTGACTCCCAGGCTTTTCATTATCATGATGATGGTATTAGACACATCCCAGAACCTGGAGAAGTTTTCTTTGATAGCTCTTCATTCTCTGTTTACATCCTCAGTGATGGACTATTACCAGTTTGCAATTGATCTTAAATGTTCCCAGAAGCTGTCTGGGACACTAGGAGAAAATATCCCAGTATTTTTTGGGAGCTAGTCAGAGACCCTCCCTGAAACCGGCTTAGATTAATTTTTTATTTATTTTTATTTTATTTTTTGGCTTAGATTAATTTTGACAATGACCTGCCACAGGTCAGAGCTCCCAAATTTCTTACCTCCTGTCAAGCTACCTATGCTCCTGTCACTAGATTTACAGTTCCATTTCTCAATGCCTAGAATGTGCTCTCTTTTTCTGCTAATTGGAACTTGTTGATTGATGGACATGTATTAGGTTTCCTACCACTTCTGGTTAAATTGTAGCAGTGAAGCAATGTGGGTAATGGGAAAATCAAGTTTGATTACTTGGTTTTTGGCTTGAACGAAAAAGTAGATGTAGACTGTAGACATGGGGACCCCTGGAAGAGGAGCAGGAAGAATATTTCAGGCAAAAGAGCATGTCAGAAGGTCTTCAGGTGAGAGTATGGCTTCTTTGAGGAAATAAGCTCTCTGGAGGATTGCCTCACCCTAGGAAGTAGTTTGGGAGCAACTGAGGAAGTCTAAGAATGAAGTTCAAAGGAGACCCCTAGGGTGTCAACAGCAAAGCACAATGGGATTCTCACATCTGAAAATGTGACATCTAGTCTTTGATTCAGAAGTACAGTTGCCAGATGCTGTGCTATTCAATGCTACCCCATGGGCACAGTTAATGTAAACGAATCAAACCATCTATTAGGTAATGGTGACTATGACAGATTAAGGTAGTAGTCCTAGCAATGACTTTGGAATTTACATATCTGTGTTTGAATTTTGCTATTTATGGGCTGTGTGACTTTGGAAATTTTACTTAGCCTCTCTAGGTTTCCTTGTCTATAGAATGGTTAATAGCATGAAAATTAAGTGCGGTAATGTAAAAGGTACTGGTCATACATTAAATGCCAAAAAGTTATGCATCACCAATATAAAAACCCATGAAAATATGTGGTTAGCATAAAAGCTAAAAAAAAAAAAAGAGGGAATTAAGGAGCAAGCATTTAGAAGTACAGGACTAGCATTGTCCAGGGAGGGATACCCTGGGTTTGGAGAACTTAAATACGGCTCTAGGGGTCATCAGGAATGGACACCGGTAGGAACTGCCTCCCCATAGGCACTCCTTACTGGAGTCAGCAGACCTGTCTCTTCTTGCTAACGTTTGTACCCTATGGCGTCACATCTTACACTCCTTTCAAAAAACGGGCTCATGAAGGAACAAGTGTTTCGTCCAGGCCTGGAAGGATTTTAAACAGCCCACTGTACGAGTCAATGAGAAAATAAATACTGGAATCTTTAATTCTGTTGATGTATCCAATTCACCTTCACTTTTAGAAAATGGTTAACCTCTTACATTTGTATCCCATTCATGTTTATAAATTTACAACTTGGGCAGAATCACCGTGTCTGTCTTTTTCTTTCCCACACTTGCTTGGATTACAAATCTCCAACCAGTCTAATGTTTTCCTTCCCAAGGTGCAGTTTGAACTGGCCAGGGTTCTAAAGACCACCTTTACTTGCTTACCGAGTCTGCAGTTTTTAAAGGCATCTAAAATTGTGAAAAAGCACAGACTTCATGGGATCGCTGTGAAAATTAATGAGATAATGCCAGTTTACTCCGTAACTGGTAACTGTTTCTGAGTTGAGCAGGAAACCCCCTATCATGAACAACTCATTTCCCTAACATTTTTCCTGCTTCAACATATCAAATATGCCTCTGGCAAACTCTTTGTCATCCTGGCACAGTAGGGGGTTTGAAATCTTGACCCTATTTCTAAGGCTTTTCTACCTCCTTTAGCCCACTGGTACCCATGGGATCTGTTACTCCTGCTCACCTACATACTCCAGGTAAGATTGGTAGGCGCTGGAGTAGTGAATGGCAAACAGGCCGGGATGAAGCAACCAAAGGAGAGGACAGGCTAGACTTCGGGCATAGGTAGTGGATTTGGGCCCAGCAGGGTGATCCACTCCTTGTGATTTGCAAGAAGGGAGGTGGGGATGGGTGGTGAAACCGCAGGGGTCAAGGGAGAAGGCAAGTGGAGTGCACATGGGACAGTGGGGGTGAGGAAGAGGGAAACCACCAATTTAGATTCTAGGCCTACATGGGCGGTGAAGGGCAAAGAGAAATCTAGCCCCACCCTCCCTCCATCCCTCCTTGGAGAAGGACAAACGCCAAAGGAAGCGCCATCCCCACGCTGCTCTGGGCCCAGCTCCCCTGCGGCCCCTGGAGAGCCCGCGATCGAGAGGAGACCTCCGAGCTGCCTAGACAAGACCCGGAAGTGCGCGCCAGGGAGCCCGAGGTTCCAGTGGTGCCCGGAGGCCGAGGTGGCCGCCGCTGCGCGAGTGAGTCCCGGAGTCCCCGGCCGTAGCAGAAGGGGCAGGGAGCGCGGGTTGCGGCGGGAGGCTCGAGCCGAGGGGACACGCGTGGCGTGGGGCTGGGGCAACAGGCCTGGCCGCGCCCCCGCGCCGGGGCCCAGCTGGCCCGGGGACAGTGAAGTGGGAGCCTCCCCTGGGGAAGAAAGCTTCAGCTGCGGTTTTCCCTTCATCTGCTCTCTTCTCCCTCCCTTGCCCGCAGTGACTGCCCATCGGTCGTGCAGTACTCTGAAGAAATTTTAGAAGAGGTCACGGCCTTGGAGCAGCACCGGGGATTGGACCCAGCCCATGGAGAAGCTGCCTGAGCAGATGTCCTCGGAGTCCCTGTGCCCATCCTCTGTGCAGGAGCCCCGACGGAGCAAGGGTGAGGAGCTGACCTAGCTGGCTTTCTTTGTCTGTTTGTCCTTCCAGCTGCAGCCTCAGATCAGATGGACACGATTGATCTTGAGCTTAGAATTGTCCTGGTAAAAAACTTTTTGAATCTCAAGGCTCTATTACATATAAATAAAGCCTGTGACCAACGTTTCCTCTCTTGACTGTGTGGAGCAGACCTGCTGCAGCAGCATGATACTAGCACTAAGTATTGGAGGATCTGTCATTCCAGCCACCTGCTAACTTGTTTGGCCTTTGGAGAAGCTCAGTAAATGCAGTGTGAATAAGTAAATGAAAGAACTCAGCCAAGTATGTCCCATCTCTCACATACCAGGAAAAGAGCAGGCTCCTCCACTCATCCTACCCAAACTCTCCTTCGTCCTTAGGGAAGATACATTTACATCCAAGGTATAAACTCCAAGCAGGTTTATACCTGGAGTACAGTAGATAAGCCAGCCACCTGCTGATGGAAAGTGAGGTTAAACTATTTTTTTTTTTAGGATTTTATTTTTTCATGACAGAGAGGCAGAGGGAGAAGCAGGCCCCATGCAGGGAGCCTGATGTGGGATTCGATCCCAGGTCTCCAGGATCACACCCCAAGCTGAAGGCGGCGCTAAACTGCTGAGCCACGGGGGCTGCCTGAAAAAGAGAATCTTAAGCAAGTTCCCCACTCAGTGCAGAGCCCAACCTGGGCTTGATCTCATGACCCTGAGATCATGACCTAATCTGAAATCAAGAGTTGGATGCTTAACAGACTGAGTCACACAGGCATCCCTACCTTGGTTAATTTTAGTAACTGATTTTCCCAAGCTAGAAAACTTGGATTCGTCCTCTACTATTCTCCTTCTGTCTATATTCAGTCAGCCACCAATCCTGTTAGTTTTTCTTCAGAAAGGCCAGATTCAATTGCCTATAATTTCCTCAATTTAGGCCCATTCTATTTTTCTTGGATTATTGATACATCCCTATGCTATTGGTCACGTCCCCTACTCTAGGCTGTCCCTCAGACTGTTGCGGGAATGAATTTCCGTGGAAACAAATTTGATCATGTCAGTCTCTGTCTATAAAATAAAGTTCAAAGCCCTGGGCGTGGCATACATGCCTCTTCATATCTGGCTCTACTCTATTTTTCTTTTCTTTTTTTCTTTTTGAGAGAGAGAGAGAGAGAGAGAGAGAGAGAGAGCGAGCGCACTGGGAATGGGGGCAGAGGGATCCCTGGGTGGCGCAGCGGTTTGGCGCCTGCCTTTGGCCCGGGGCGCGATCCTGGAGACCCAGGATCGAATCCCACATCAGGCTCCCGGTGCATGGAGCCTGCTTCTCCCTCTGCCTATGTCTCTGCATCTCTCTCTCTCTCTCTCTGTAACTATCATAAATAAATAAAAAAAAAAAGGGAATGGGGGCAGAGGGAGAGAGAGAATCCCAAGCAGACTACACTTGGTGCAGAGCTCAACATGAGGTTCAGTCTCAGGACTCTGAGGTAATGACCTGAGTGAAATCAAGACTTGAATGCTCAACTGATTGAGCCACCGAGGCACCCCATTTGGCTCTACTCTATTTTTCTACTACATCTCCTGGCTTCCTGCCCACATGGGGCATACATTTCACTCATATAATAGTAAAAAAAAATGGAGGTTTTTTTTTTAGTGTTCCCTTAAACTTAGTGTTCCCTTCTATGTTGCTGAGCCTTAGCAGATGCTGTTGTGTTTGCCTGGAATACTCTTCACCTTGTTAATCTGATTATAGTTCAAGATCCAGCTCAATGTCATTCTTTGAGGCTGCCACCTCCAGGTCACCTAGGTAGGGGTTGTTCTTCCAAATTGTGCTTTGAGGCACTGTTATAATCCCTCTACCAGTACCCTGCACATAGTAGGTGGTATAGACATTTGCTGATTGGTTTAATCAAACAGGAAATGTATTCATTTCCTAGGGCTTTTGTAACGAATTACCATAGCTACATGGCTTAATAGAGCAGAACTGTATTTTCTTGCAGTTTTGGAAGGTAGAAGTCTAAGAGAAGCTACCTCAAGGCTCTTAAGAAGAGTCACTCCTTGTCTGTTCCCAGCTTTTGGTGCTTCCCAGGATCCATGGTGCTCCTTGGCTTATGGCTGCATCAGTTAGTTGTGCCTCTGTTGTACATGACCTTCTTCCCTGTGTGTTTCCATTTCTAAATCTTCCTTTCCTTTCTGTTTTAAAGATACCAGTCATTGGGTTTAGAGCCCACCCTAATCCATTATGATCTCATCTTAACTCTGCAAAGACTCTTCTACCAAATAAGGTCACATTCTGAGGTTCTAGCTGGACATGGATTGGTGGGGGTGGGGCAGGGAAACGACACTACCCAGTACAATAAGACCTGCTCATTTCTTTTGCTCATTAGAAGTGAGTATAGTTGGGATCACACAACTTTGTAGTTAAACTACTTGAAGAACTGATTTTCCCCTTTCCTTTAAATTAGAAGCAGATCGGGCAGCCCAGGTGGCTCAGTGGTTTAGCACTGCCTTCAGCCCAGGGCATGATTCTGGAGCCTCGGGATCCAGTGTTACGTCAGGCTCCCTGCATGGAGCCTGCTTCTCCCTCTGCCTGTGTCTCTGCCTCTCTTTCTGTGTCTTATTAATAAATGAATAAAATCTTTAAAAATAATTAAATAAATTAGAAGATCAGCGAAAAAACTTTAAAAAAAACTTTTGTTTACAGGGATATGTTTGATTTGCTTATTTCAGAGGGTAACTGCTTTCTACTTGGGTTCTCTAGTTGTGTCTCAGAATATCTGTTGAGGCATTCTAGGGGATCCTGCTATTTATCAGAGTTTGGATCCAAGTTTTTGATATTTTTTCGGTAAGTGGCTCTGACCCATGAGAAGATCTACCATATTCTCTGAATTCTATATGAGCCTCAGTCCTGAAGACGTTTTATAAATGGTCTCTTTGGGACTCTTAGCAACTTATAGATTCTTCTCTTGATTGCTGGAAAATAATCAGGAGCATTTTGAAGCGCCTAATGTATGCAGGGTTCTTTATATAGTACTGGGCTTGGAGACAAAGAAATGGAATTTCTTAAAATATGAATTTTTATGAAAGAAATTTTATTTCATAAAATATATCTATATTTTAATCTAGAGATGCTTTCAGTATAAATTGAAGTGAAGACACACACACACACACACACACACACACACACATACAACTAAAAATAATTCTGAGGAGAGGCCCAAAGACAATGTGGTTAAATGCCTTGAAGGATACAGGAAGTGAATGCTTTAGAGATTCAAAGGAGAGCTCACTTCCAGCTGGGATTAGAGGAAGGTTTCATTTCAGGAAGGAGGCTGCCTTTGAGCTGGGTCTGTAAGGTTAAATAGGAGTTTTATAGGGGGAGGAGAAGGACATATGTGGGGTATGCATGGTCAGGAAGCTGTTCACATTGACTGGAGTATAGAGAAGACGTGGTAGAAGAGGAGTCTGTGGGACAGAATGGAATAAAATTATGGGGAAGGAATGCCAGGCCATAAGAGCTTAGCTTTTGCTTAAGTACGTTATGTTAGCTTCTCTCTGCAGATGGCTAGCTGGTGAGCATGGTCTATCAAGGCAGAGAATCTGATTTGTTCCGTGTGGTATGAGAGGTGATTACGGTCTTACTTTAGGATATTACCAGCGATAACAGGAAGGTAGGGACAAAAACCAAGAAGTGTGTTGGAGGTGGAAGCAATAATACTTGTTTACTGAGTGCATGTGGGGGCAGAGAAAGGAGTCCCTGCTCCTTGTCACCCCTTCCCTTTTTATTTTGAAGAATGCTTAAGCTACAGGAGGGTTGCAAGAACTGTGAAACAAATACTAATACACCAGAAGAAGAAGTGGGTTTGAGACATACTGATCTCAAGAGACTGGTGTGAGGGGGCACCCGGGTGGCTCAGCGGTTGAGCATCTGCCTTTGGCTCAGGGCATGATCCCGGGGTCCTGGGATCGAGTCCTGCATCAGGCCCTCCTCAGGGAGCCTGCTTCTCCCTCTGCCTCTCTCTCTCTCTCTCTCTCTCTCTCTCTGTCTCATGAGTAAATAAATTTTTTAAAAAAGAGAGAAAGACTGGTGTGAGAACCATGTAGGAATGTTTTTGTAAATTACTGGAGATGCTGTAGCCTGTGATAAATATTCCCCATTTCAGGAGGTGGGGACACAATCCCTCCAGCTACTCAATCTAGAGAGAAAACTTTGTTCTCTCATATTCATACCCCTCAGTCAATAATCCTATCCACACAGCCATAGACATTTTTTTTCCAGAATCCCAGTACTTCTTACTATTTTCTCTGCCACCATTTTGGTCCAGCGTGCCATTATCCCTCACCTGGATTATTGCAGTAGCCTCCTGGCTGATTGTCCTACCTCTGCCATAGCCTCTCTACTGTAGCCGGCAGCACGATCCTGTTAAAATGTCAGGTCTTCCCTTCCTCTGGTCACAAGCCTCCCATAGCTTCATATCTCACTCAGTAAAAGCACACGTCTTACAGTAGCTTATTGGGTTCTATGTCCTCTAATTCCCTTTTTATATCTCTGACCTCATTTCTTACTACTCTTCTCCTTGCTCATTGTGTTCTAGTCATACTTGCCCCTTTGAACACTCAGGGCCTTTGCACTTGCTGTTTCTTCTTTGTGTAATGCTCTTCACGGAATGTGTAAAATTGCAACCCTTCTGCCCACTCCCTCCCTTTGGCACTGGACTTCTTCTCCCTGGCTTTTGTCTCTATAGCACTTGTTTCATCTAGTAGTATGTAATTTACAAGATTTCTTGTCTTACTATTATGAAAGATCTTAGAGGGCAGAGTTTTTTTTTTTAAAGATTTTATTTATTTATTCATGAGAGAGAGAGAGAGAGAGAGAGAGAGAGAGAGAGAGAGGCAGAGATACAGGCAGAGGGAGAAGCAGGCTCCATGTAGGGAGCCAGACGTTGGACTCCATCCTGGGACTCCAGGATTGGGCCCCGCGGGCCAAAGGCCTTTCTAAACTGCTGAGCCACTCGGGCTGCCCCGAGGGCAGAGTTTTTGCCTGTTTGCCCCCTGATGTATCTTAACACCTAGAACTGTACCTGGCACGTTGTTGGTGCTCAGTAGATAAATGTGAATGAGTCAAATGTCACAGAATTCATAAAGAGGAGGAGAATCACCTTCAGCTTAATGGAGAAGGTGATATTGAACAGGGCCTGAGAGCTTTAGGATTTATATTCTTGAAGATGTTGAGCAGGCTGTCAGATCTCTGGCAGTGGGCCACATAAAAGGCTCATCCTCTAGAACACCTAAGCCTTCACATATTGTGGGAGAGAACAAATAGAATGGTCCAACAGAAAGGAGAAGAGGTTTGGTATAGGGGAGGAGATGGGAGTGAGGCTGGAAAGACAGGAGCCAGCTAAGGGAGATGTAGAAGAAACCCTCATTTTAATATTTGCGTAAACCAACCACAGAAGGCATAACTCCTTTCACGGAATCATCCAAGTCCAAATGGAGGCATGCCCGGCCTATTGGTCTTTCAGTTTTGATGAGCTGAGGAGACTTTGTTACCTTCTCCATATGGTGTTTCACCTTATTAGTGAACCCAGTTTTTTTTTTTTTTTTTTAAGATTCTATTTATTGATTCATGAGGGACAGAGACAGGCAGAGACTTAGGCAGAGGGAGAAGCAGGCTTCCCGTGGGGAGCCCAATGTGGGACTTGATCCCAGGACCCCGGGCTCACACCTTGAGCTGAAGGCAGATGCTCAACCACTGAGCCACCCAGGCATCCTATGAACCCAGTTTTGAAGGGCCTCTATGTTTAGGTGCTCCCAGGCCTTGGGGGACAGATCTGGCAGATTTAGAAGGCTCTAGAGTTGTGTTGTCCAGTAGGGTAGCCTCAGCTACAGTGGGTTAACTAAATTTAAATTAATTAAAATTAAATGCAATTAAAAGTTTAGCTGCTCAGGTGCACTAGCCACATTTCAAGTGCTCAGCAGACAGTGCAGATGTAGAACAGCTGCATAACCACAGAAAGTTCTGTTGGACCATGCACAGAGAGTGACTTAAATTTATAGTACCAGTTCATTATGGTTTCTTGATAAAAAGAATTGGTCTGTTTAGCTAGTGGTTAGATTTGATTGATGCCTTTATCACTTTTTTATTTAAAAAATTTATTTTGAAGATTTTATTTGAGAGAGTGAAGGAGAGAGAGAGAGAGCACAAGCAGGGGGAAAGGGAGAGGGAGACTCCCCACTGAGCAGGGAGCCCGAAGCAGGGCTCTATCTCAGGACCCTGAGATCATCACCTGAGCCAAAGGCAGACACCTAACCAACTGAGCCACCCAGGCACCCCTGACTTTTTTTTTTTTTAAGTACCTAACTTTTTTTTTTTTTAAGATTTTATTTTATTTATTCATAAGAGACACAGGGAGAGAGGCAGAGACACAGGCAGAGGGAGAAGCAGGCTCCATGCAGGGAGCCTGACATGGGAATCGATCCTGGGTCTCCAGGATCAGGCCCTGGGCTCAAGGTGGCGCTAAACCACTATCCCTTCGCTTCCCTTCTTTTCTTTCTTTTCATACCTAACTTAGACCTTGTTTGTGTTTCCAGGTGTTTGCAATTTGTGTGACATGGAAGAGAAACAGTTAAACACATGTGCAAGAAAATGTAAGAACATTAAGCTATTAATACATTCACAGCTGTTAGAATGGCTATTGCCTAAAAGACAGGAAGTAATAAGTGTTGGTGAGGATGTAAATTGGTGAACTACCAATAGAAGGACCATTTGATCCAGCAATTTCACTTCTGTTTATCTGAAGGAAATGAAGGCACTATCTTGAAAAGGTATCTGTGTCCCCATGCTTACTGCAGCAGTACATATGACAGCCAAGATGTGGAAACAGCCCAAGTATCCATAGGTGGATGCGTGGATAAAGCAGATGTGGTGTACATACAATTATATGTGTACATACACAGTGGAATATTGTACAGCTGTAGAAAGAAGGAAATCCTGCCATTTACAACAACATGGGTGGACCTGGAGGGTATTATGCTAAGTGAAATAAATCAAAGACAAATATTGTGTGATCTGACTTAGATGTGGAATTAAAACAAACAAACAAACAAACAAACAAACAAAAGCAACGCAAACACAGAAAACAGACTGATGATTGCCAGATGTGGAGGGTGGGAGTGGAGGAATTGGATGAAGGGGGCCAAAAGGTAGATACTTCCATACACAAGTCCCAGGGATGTAATGTACAACCTGGCAGTGATAGTTGATAATGCTGTATTGCATGTTTGAAAGTTGCTAAGAGGATCTTTTTTTTTTTTTAAGTTTTTTTTTAAATTTATTTACGATAGTCATACAGAGAGAGAGAGAGGCAGAGACACAGGCAGAGGGAGAAGCAGGCTCCATGCACCGGGAGCCTGACGTGGGATTCGATCCCGGGTCTCCAGGATCGCGCCCTGGGCCAAAGGCAGGCGCCAAACCGCTGCGCCACCCAGGGATCCCGCTAAGAGGATCTTAAAAATTCTTCTCACAAGGAAAAACATTTTAAAAACAGTATCTAAACTGAACATACAGAGGATGATGGCATATCTGGAGGTGTAGAACAAGTGTAAATATGGTTCTGTGATAAAATATCACAGGTGATTATTAAATTCCTTTAAAATTTAATAAAAATTACCAAATAAAATCAGGGCTGTTTATGTGTTAGGCTTTCACTGCTAATGGAAATGCTGTATTGGCTATTTCTCAGCACCCTCTCCTTTCAGAAGATCCCTCTTAGCAGAAGGCCTACTTTCTTTAATATCATTGTAAAGCAACCTCTCTAGCTTTAATATTTCAATTAAAGTAAACAGGTGATGTTTTTATGTCATGTCTCCCTTCAATGCTGGGGTGCAGGATTTGTTTTTGTATATTTTCTTAGAGTCTACATTGACTTGGGAATATTTCTCTCTACTTGGTGGTTCATATTTTAAAGAACTTTTCATCCTCCCCCTTCTTCCTTTATCAAATCTTCCCCATTTGCAGTATTTCTAAAGGAGCACATGAGGTCTGAATGTGTCTTATGTTCACTAGTGAGCATGTGAACATCTGTGTGTAGAGAGATATGGGGAAGGTGTTAGTCTCTGCATGAAGGGAGGCTTGCCTGTTACCTCAGGGGACCATTACATGGTTGGAGTGCCATGTGGGCAGAACCTCTAGGGTGAGGCTTTCCTCTTTAATTTATCTGTTCAGTCCCTGCTCCTCCCCACACATAGTTCCCAGCATCTCCCTTCTGAAGTTCTGAGGTGACTCCACTTCCCTCAAATTCTGCCTCCCTTTTCTATTAATCCTGTTATGTCTTCGTATATAAACCTGAATTTTAGTTTCTCACCATTTTCTCCAAATCTCCTCAACTTGTATCCATCTTTTTCCTATATTGCAAGGCCATTTTTCATACTTTTTTGAACCAAATACTTCTGGAATACTCTGATTCCTGTTCCCCACCAGGAGTTTTTCTTGTTACATTTTACCTTTTTTATATTTTCTGTCAGATGGTGAAACCTGGACTGAGGATCAATTAATTATAAAGCAGAAAACTCTTGAAGTAGGGCTACAACTATAAGAAGGAGATGAATGTGAACAAAACAAACATGAGGGGCTTTGTGAATATGGACAAAACTTCTGTAACATCACAAACTCTATCCAATAGCCACAAATTCTTAACTGAAGAGAAATCCCAAATGTGTAATATTTGTGGGAAATTATTCAGGCAGAACTCCTACCTTATTCAGCATGGAAGAATCCATATATAAGAGAAATCTTATGAGTGTCATGAATGTGGAAAAGCTTTTGGCCGTACTTCACACCTAATCTAGCATCAAAGAATACATACTGAAGAAAAACCCTATGAATGTAGTGGGAAAAGCTTCCGGCGCAGCTCACACCTTATCCAGCATCAGATAACTCATACAGGAGAGATGCCTTATATGTGTAATGAATGTAGGAAAGCTTTTGGCCAGAGCTCAACCAGAGAATCCACACGAGGGAGAAACCCTATGTGTGTAGAGAGTGTGGGAAGGCCTTCAGCCAGAGTTCAAATCTGATAGAACACCAGCGAGTTCACACCAAAGAGAGACCATATGAGTGCAATGACTGTGGGAAAACTTAGAGTCATAACTCGCACCTCATTGAATACCAGAGAGTCCACACAGTGGAGATTCCTTATGATTGCAGTGAGTGTGGGAAATCTTTTAGTAGGAGTTCACTACTTATTAAACATGACAGGATTCATACTGGAGAGAGACCCTATGAATGTTGTGAATGTGGGAAGGCCTTCAGCCACAATTCTCACCTTCAGCATCAGAAAACTCCTGGTGGAGAAAAAGCTTCTGAATGCAAAGAATATGGAAAAACCTTCAAGTACAGGTCATAACTTTCCAACCATCTGGGAATCCACACAAGAAAGAAGCTGAATGAAATGAAGGTGGTAAAGCCTTTGGTCAGAGTTCAGCTCTGAGTGAAAGAGCGCTCACATGAGGGAAAAACCCTTTGGATTTCGTGAGACTGGACAGCCTACAGTCCTGGTTTCAACTCTTACTAAGACATGAAAATCTAGATAGTGGACAAATCTCATGGATGTGTTCAATGCACAAGAGCCTTTAGAAGGAGTTTCTGCCTTATTCAGCATTAGCAGATTGACTTTGGAGGAGATTGTGTCAGACAGGAGGATGAAAGGGACATAATGCAGCATGACCAAGGTGATGGCTAAGTGGAGCCTTCAGTTAGTTAGCACCACTGTTTATTTGATGTTGAGGATCTGCATGGGAGATTCTGTGGTTTGCTTTCCAGATCTTCATAGTTGTCCTCTGAAAATGGAATGAGTTGGGTTCCATCCCAGGGAAGAAAGAATTGGGGAATTCTTTTTTTTTTTTTATTGGAGTTAAATTTGCCAACATATAGCATAACACCCAGTGCTCATCCCATCAAGTGCCCCCCTCAGTGTCCGTCACCCAGTCACCCCCACCCCCCCACCCACCTCCCTTTCCACCACCCCTTGTTTGTTTCAAATTGGGGAATTCTTGATTCAGACTCATAGGTCAGGAAAACAGGAGGGTGACCTTCGAATCCAGTTGCTGTCCTTCTATCTCCTCTATTCCATTTGTTGTAACTATTGTTGGAAGGGGCTCTTGGGTCTTCTTGGACCAGCATTCTGCTCCTCCATGTCCTATAGACTATTGAATCTCATTTTGTTTAATATGACATAAGTGCACTTAAACGGGCAAATTTTCTAAGCCAAACAATTTTTCAGTATGACATGTCATGGGCTTTGTTATGTGTCAGCTAGGGTAGGCTGAACTACATTTGCCAGAATTCCTTTTCCTGTATTTTTTGGTTCTTTTGGGCTAGAGGGAGATTCTTTTTTTTTTTTTTTTTTTTTAATTTATGGTAGTCACACAGAGAGAGAGAGAGAGAGGCAGAGACACAGGCAGAGGGAGAAGCAGGCTCCATGCACCGGGAGCCTGACGTGGGATTTGATCCCGGGTCTCCAGGATCGCGCCCTGGGCCAAAGGCAGGCGCCAAACCGCTGCGCCACCCAGGGATCCCTAGAGGGAGATTCTTAATCAGGAGGGCAGAAGAAAAGCAGCAGTTATTTTGTGCCTCACCCATGTTGTTGCTATCTGCTGATTCAGCTCACTAAGGAGACATAGCAGCTGGGCGTGCAGTTGGTCTCTCTTCCTCCTTTGCTTTTGCTGGGCTGTGAGAGTGTGTGTATGTCCTTGTGGTTTTACTTCTCTGATTGAATCCTAGCCATATGCATGCTTACTGTTCTTGTGACAAGTACACATTTGTTTTAAGTTTAGGTAGAGAGAAATGGTTAAGTTCTCGCTGTTTTTTTTTCTTTTTAAAGATTTTATTTATTCATTCATGATAGACACACACAGAGAGAGAGGCAGAGACACAGGCAGAGGGAGGAGCAGGCTCCATGCAGGGAGCCTGATGTGGGACTCAATCCCGGGACTCCAGGATTTCGCCCTGGGTGGAAGGTAGGCGCTTAAACTGCTGACCCACCCAGGCTGCCCAAGTTCTCGCTGTTTAAAGAAAAAAAAAAAAAACTTAAGAATTTTCAAGATTTTCTATGAGAAAAAGCCACAGCTCAAGCTCCTTTATAACAAAAATTCCCTCATAACCTAAGGCAAGCTTAACTATTGTGTAATTATCGAGGAAAAAGTTGAATAGTGAAGCAGTTGAATAGTGGTGATACATAATGGATAAAATTTTTTTAAATAATAAATTTATTTTTTATTGGTGTTCAATTTACCAACATACAGAATAACACCCAATGCTCATCCCGTCAAGTGCCCCCCTCAGTGCCCGTCACCCATTCACTCCCACCCCCCGCCCACCTCCCCTTCCATCACCCCTAGTTCGTTTCCCAGAGTTAGGAGTCTTTATGTTCTGTCTCCCTTTCTGATATTTCCCACACATTTCTTCTCCCTTCCCTTTCACTATTCCCTTTCACTATTATTTATATTCCCCAAATGAATGAGAACATACAATGTTTGTCCTTCTCCAATTGACTTACTTTACTCAGCATAATACCTTCCAGTTCCATAAAAATTTTTAAAAGACTTTATTTTGGGGGTACTGGGTAGCTCAGTGGGTTAAGTGTCTGCCTTTGGCTGAGGTCATGATCTCAGGTTCCTGGGATCGAGTCCTGTGTTGGGCTGGGCTCCTTGCCCAGTGGGGATCTGCTTCTCTTTCTCTCTGCTCATGCTCTCTCTGTCTCTCTCAAAATAAATAATAAAATCTTTTTTAAAAAAAGATTTTTTATTTATAAGAAATTTCTACACCCAATATAGGGTTCAAACTCACGACTCCAAGATCAAGAGTGACAAGCTGGGCAGCCCGGGTGGCTCAGTGGTTTAGCGCCTGCCTTCAGCCCAGGGCATGATCCTGGAGACCTGGGATCGAGTCCCACATCGGGTTCCCTGCATGGAGCCTGCTTCTCTCTCTGCCTGTGTCTCTGCCTCTCTCTCTCTCTCTCTCTCTCTCTGTGTGTGTCTCTCTCTCATGATTAAATAAAATCTTTAAAAAAAAAAAAAAGTGACAAGCTCTACCAACTGAGCCAGCCAGGCACCACCATAAAATTAAAAACAAAAAACAAAAAACCAACAAACTTTTGAGCACTCATTTACTATGAATATTTTAATCATTAAAAGAAATTCTAAAAATACCTGTAATAGGTAGTATATTGTTAGATTAGGTATCTGAGAGAAATATCTCTTTGTAAATGCTTTTTTTTTTTTTAAGTAGCCCCTTTGAGGGGCTCAAACTCACTACCCTGAGATCAAGACCTGAGTTGAGATCAAGATTTGGATGCTTAACCGACTGAACCATCTAGGTGCCCCAACTAAATGCTTATTTTTGGTTACAAAATATCAGATTATTTTTCCTCCATGTAGTCTAGATTAATGATCATCTAAAATATCAGTGAAAATTATACTTACATTGTGGACTTTTTTTTTTTTAAGAGTTTATTCACGACGGACTCAGAGAGAGAGAGAGAGAGAGGGAGGGAAGGGCAGAGACACAGGCAGAGGGAGAAGCAGGCTCCATGCAAGGAGCCTGACGTGGGACTCGATCCCCTGTCTCCAGGATTAGGCCCTGGGCTGAAGGCAGCACTAAACCACTGAGCCACCCGGGCTGCCCATGTAATGAGATTTAAAAGGATTATATGATAGTGCATCTGAAAATGCTGTCATGGCCTGCTGTCATTTCTCCCTTCTGAGAACACCATCCCTCTTCCTTTAAGAAAGATTTTATGTTGCTCCAGATAGGTGATCCAAATTGCTGGCTTCTCAGTGACCCTACCTGCTTGGTCACAGCGGAGCCACAGCTGACTTATCTTCTCTGACCAGAGTGGAAGGAGCAGGTGACCCAAGCAGAGCTTATAGAGCTTCCCTGGGAAATTTTGAACCAAGTAGGGGTGAGAATGGAGTGAGGGAAACATCCTTTTTCTCCAAGGTGGCTAAATATGAGCATGTGACTAGTTAAGCCAGTAGAAGCCCTCTCTGGTGAGTGTTTACAAATTGAGCCCTGAACCTTTATGACAAATAGAATCCTGAACAGTACAGGGGCCTGTCACATGCCTCTCACAGGTGGCAGGGAAATTAGTGGTCCATCCCACCTCATCCCTTCCTGTTGTCTTTGACTATGTTTAGGGCTAGTGGAGAGGTGTGAGGAGGTGCCAGATATGGTACTGGCTTTTTAAAATCTTGGTGTTATCAATGTATTTTTTGGTGAGGGCAGACTTAAAGCAGGGTGGGGGATGAGGGTTGGGGGTGGGGGCTGGTGGCTTATCTAGCTCCAAGTGTGGCCACTTTTGCCACCAGAACCACCCTCTACCAGTCTCCTAAAGCTGAAGCCAGTCCTGCCTCCACACAGTGTCCACTCTTGGAAGAGTCTTTCTGGGGTTTAAAACCAGTGGGGCTGGTGAGAGGTGCTGCCAGCCTTCTTAGGGGAGGAGGGCAGAGAAGGGGAGAGGGATGGAGGGTGAGGGAGGCCCGAAGATGATCAGGCCCACCCACAGGACTGGGGCTTGGGAGGCTGCACAGGTGGGGTCATGGGGGGGGGGGTGAGGGGGAGTGAACAGGCAGGGCCCTGAGGAGGCAATGGGTATTCTTCCAGTCACTTGTCATTGGACGTGCAGAGCCATCCAACAGGAGGAGTTACTATTATTACTGTTTCACAGATGAGAAAACTGACACCCAGGAAGCAGAAGTAACTTACCCAGGGTCATCCTGCTGGTAATGGCAGAGCTGGAATTCGAATTCAGATCCGCTTGGTTCCCAATCGCTCCCACCCCCATCCCATTCCGTGCACGGGTAAGTGAGACCCAGTGAGGAGGCCGGTACCGCGAACTCCGGGGCGGAGGGCTAGGTGAGCTGTGGGCGTGGCCACAGGGTCTGTGGACCCCCTCGTCACCACCTCCAGGGTGTGGGCTCTGCCAGCAGACAGAACTGCGCATCCTTTGCTCAGGCTTCGGGGCCAACGGAAGCTCTGGGTAGCGGGACCAAGGGGCGGGAGAGGGGCCAGGGTCGGGGTCCACTCCGCGGCTTGGGGGACCTCCTAGAGGGAAGCCCTGCCCCGACGGTGCCCAAGGAGTGGGGGAGGCCATGGGGGAAGGAAGGGAGGCTATGGGCGGCATGGAGGAGGGCGGGGTGGCTCCACCGACTAGCGGGCATGGAGAAGGCCCCCAACCCCCCACATCCAGGCCACACAGAAAACTACTGGCTGTTGGGCCCACTGCGGGGGTGGGGGCGGATCGTCAGATCTGGGTGAATTTGGGGGTCTGGAGAATGTCCCTGTGGCTTTGGGGCCAGTGAAGGGCTGAGGAGGTTTGTCAGCAGTAAGGAACCTCTGACTAGCCCTGGTCCAATCTGCAGCCCAAGTTGTCCCGAATCAGTGGCAGGAAAGGGAGTGAGGCTTCCTGCAGCCCTGACCGTGCCCCTCACCATTCTAACCCAGATTATGTCGCCCACCTCTTTCCTCCCTCCTATAGTTCCTATCTGACCCCGGGGCTGCACGGGCTTCGGGCTTCGGGAGGGGACAGGGAACACAGGTTCAGGCTGCTGCAGGGTGGCTCAGGGACTCTCCCAGAGGGAACCTGCATGAGGAAGATTTCCCCCTCCCCCCCCGCCCCCCCCCCACCTCCTCTGTGGCCAGTTCAGGCCACACAGAGCTGAGCTGGCAGCTCTTTTGCTTTCCAGTGTCCTGGGTCCTTTTTAAATAATAGTTAATGCACTCAGCATGATAGTAGCTGACAGTTGTTTTTGTTTGTTTTGAATGCTTTTGGCAAAATAAAAAGTTGGCAATTCTATACCCTTCACCCCTCCTTCACTCTCCTCTTCTCACATGTGCTAATGAGCATACCCAGTAGGACGCATTCACTAGTTCCATGAAATTCCAGATTTGGGGGACGCCCGGGTAACTCAGTGGTTGAGCATCTGCCTTTTACTCAGGGTGTGATCCTGGTGTCCTCGGATCGGATCGAGTCCCACATGAGCCCCACATGAGTCCCACATCGGGGCTCCCTGCGTGGAGACTGCTTCTCCCTTTGCCTCCGTCTCTGTCTCTCTCTTGAATAAATAAATAAATAAATCTCTAAAAAATATATAAATTCCAGATTTGGCAATCTCCAGACTGAGCTGCTAGCCTACGGCCTGAATTGGGTGTGAGGGGCAGCCCTGTGGGATTCTGGTCCTGGTGCCAGTGTTCACTGGCTATGGGATCCTGTTTTCTATTTCAGCAGGACAAAAGAATCTACAGATTCCCTGTTGTATTAACATATCTGTGGTCCTTTGAGTCTGGCCTGGATCAGTGTGTTCCCTAAGTTATATGTCTGTGGAGCACAGTTGTCCAGTCTCCATGCTAAGGGCTGTTGCAAAGGCTGGGAAGGTCCACCTCACTGGAGAGCAGTGAGGCAGGGTGGGTGGGGCAGATGGGAGGTAGCACGTTAAGGTATGCCTGGCCCTGAAGTAACCCAGGCAGGGGAGAGGAAACCATTGTACTCTGTGACGTGTTTTTGTGTCTCTCTCTCTCCTATAGATTCCAAGAGCCTGCAAGTTCCTGTCTTCTTTTCATCCCTGAATTGCTCCCACCGGCCTAAGCTGAGCATGGGGCGTCCGGTAAGTGTGGAGGGAATGATGGAGAGTGGCTGCGTGCAGTGGATGGGGCCAAGCTGAGTTTTACAGGAGAGGTGGGATTTAAATGGTTTCGAGACTCAGAGAGGGCACCCCTGGGGAAGGAAGGCATACATGGAGGCTGGAGGTACTTGGGAGGAGACCTCTGGCCATGAGGCAGGAAGGATGGGGGCTTGGGGACTTCCCGAGAGGAAGGCTGATGAGATAGAGGCATTGTAAGAGGAAGAAGCCAGCTTGAGTTCCAGGCCAGTGTATGGTGACAGGGAAATGGGGGAAGCACAAAGGCCAGTTTTAGACAACTCGAGGTTGTTGGGGACAGGCAGGGGCACAGAACATCTGATGACAATGTCCAGTGTATTCTCTCCCCTCTGGAGCACGAGGGTCAGGATGGAGCCATGACTCCTACCGGAGAGTTTTAGAGCTAGAACTGCTCTCAGGGCCAACCAACTCTGTCATTTTAGAGCAAAGGAAACTGAGGCCTGAAAGTTCAAGTGACTTATCAGTGTGGCCTGGAGGGTGGAGGGAAGATCTAAAGGGGAGCTTTGGAGAGAGAGAAAGTTTATTTTATTTTTTTTTTAAAGATTTTATTTATTTATTCATGATAACCACAGAGAGAGAGAGAGAGAGAGAGAGAGAGGCAGAGACACGGGCAGAGGGAGAAGCAGGCTCCATGCAGGGAGCTGGATGTGGGATTCGATCCCAGGTCTCCAGGATCACGCTCCAGGCCAAAGGCAGGCGCCAAACCGCTGCGCCACCCAGGGATCCCGAGAGAGAAAGTTTAACGTATTCAGGTGGGAAGAATAGAAGCTAGTGAAGGTGAAAGCACTCCAGGATGTTTCCAAACCAGTCTGAGGGCACTCAGAGGACTAGCTATTTACCTGTTTACAAGAGGCGTATTTGGGTGGGAGGTGCAAGAGTGCACCCACAATCTCCCCTCTGCCATTAGGCTGGTCCTTCTATTGTGATCATTGGTTCCCATAGCCTCAAAGACACTCCTTGCCCTGGCTGCAGTGAGGGGGTCTGCATCAGGACCAGAGAGAGGCCCTAATGCCTGGGCATGAGCACAGATGTTTGCACAGGGGTGGGCAGGAGAAAGCAGCCTCAATCTGAAGGCCTTATCTTCTGCACTTCAGATCATGGCCTCAAGATCTGCCCCCCCACCTCCATCATCATCCGGAAATCCCCAAAGCAATTGGCTGTTAGTTTTCTGCAGAGCACGGTGCAGAGGGTCTTTGTAGGTGGGATGATTGTTAACAGAATTGAGCAATGAGAACCTTAGGGTTGGCGGGGGTTTGGGGATGGCCTGGTCCATCTTCATTTTATTGAGGTGGGAATTGGGGCTCAGAGAAGAGACCCTCCTTGCCTAAGAGCACCCAGTGACTTAGTGGCAGAAAATGTTTTATGCATCTTTTAGGTCTGCTTAAGAGGTCTGTAAGTTTGTAAAGTTTATCTAGGCAAATAAATCATCATTTCCCAAGCCTCACATATGTGATAACATTTCTGCAAGCGTCCTCTGCTTTGCTCTGTTCTGCATGAGAAGCCCTTACTTTTCCCTTGAATAGGTGGTGCTGACTTTAGACGACAAGGACATGAAGGGGTTCACATGGGCCATAGCCCCGGCCTTGACCTCCTTGGGCTACCTGCTCATACTGCTGGTCTCCATCTTTCCTTTCTGGGTACGGCTTGTAAACGAGGAGTCCCATGAAGTGTTTTTCAGTGGCCTGTTTGAGAACTGCTTCCATATCAAATGCTGGAAGCCTCGACCCTTATCAGGTAAGGAGAGATGGAGGGTTGGAGGTGGGAACAGGGCAGGGGGGAGATTGTTTAATTTAATTATAAACCCATCAGGGCGTTTTTTGAGTCTCTACTTTCAAGATTAGAGGAAAGTAGGTGACTAGCAAAAGGTTCATAATATCAAGTTGACCCCCAGGGTCAGGAGCAAATGTGTCAGCAACAAAATTTATTTCTGGGGTAGGAGTGGCTCCACCTAGGATGAAGGACTGGGGGTCCTGCCCTACGATGTGAGGCTCCAGCACCACTTGGGGCTGCTGTTAGCTTCCCCACACAGGACCTTTTTGGGTGGGCACAGCTCCTAGCCAGGGAACAGCTTCATTAGTAGAGTACAGGCCAGATTGCAGCCCCCACTTGTCCTCTCTGCCAAACACCTGTCCAACTGTGGGAGGCAGCCCTGTGGATAATGTGCTTAGGCCCAAGTATCACATTTTCAAGGGAATGCACAGAAATGTGAGCTCCATGGACTATGGCTGCACTCAAGGTCATGTTTTACAAGCACTTTGGGAAGGTCGGGAGGATGTCTGTCTTGGAAAAGAGGTGAGCCTCTTTGGGGAAGAACCCTTAAGGGTTCACTCTGGGTAATAGAAGAGGAGAAGCCTCTTTGGGGAAGATGGGCCACAGTGTGTGGGCTCTCTGTTATGGAGTTCCTCAGCCTTCATGCTACTGACACTTTGGCTGGATAATCTTTGTTATGAGGGCTCTCCTGTTTCTTGCAGGTCAGTTAACAGCACCCTTACCCTCTACTACCCAACTGACAATCAAAATTACCCCTTACGTAAATATCCCAAGGCGGTGGAGGAGGGTTGCAAAACTGCCCCCAAGTTGAGAACCATTGGTTTTACCCAATTGTAAATCCTAGAACACTTGGGTCTTCAGCAGTATCTTTGTCTTTTTGTCCCACTCCCAGCTGTCCATGTCTGCATGCCTAGGAGGCCTAAACAAACTTGTTTTAACATGGGCCTGGGTCACACTAGGAGTAGGGGAATGAATCACCTGGTCATCAAGACCCTGGCTCTGCTATTTTGGGTCTGTTTTGCAATTTCTGTTAACTGGGATAATTAAATAAGCACCCTCACCTCCAACCCCCCCGCCCCTGAGTTCAGAACATCTTAACCTCTCAAATTCTGATTTTCCACTGGTAGCTCATTTAGTGTGAAGAGTACTGATGCAATGCTTCATGTTTTCACATGCAACTTTTTTTTTTAAAGATTTATTTATTTATTTATGATAGACATAGAGAGAGAGAGAGAGAGAGAGAGAGAGAGAGAGAGAGAGAGGCAGTGACACAGGCAGAGGGAGAAGCAGGCTGCATGCCAGGAGCCCGACATGGGACTTGATCCCGGGACCCCAGGACTGTGCCCTGGGCCAAAGGCAGGCGCCAAACTGCTGAGCCACCCAGGGATCCCCCACATGCAACTTTTATCATTTATAGTGTTTATTAAAATGACCCTTTGTCCATTGAATTTTTTTCCATACACTTCCTTTTTTTTTTTTAAGCTTTTATTTATTTATTCATGAGACACACAGAGAGAGAGGCAGAGATATAGGCACAGGGAGAAGCAGGCTCCCTGCAGGGACCCCAATGTGGGATTTGATCCCAGGACTCTGGCATCACGACCTGAGCTAAAGGCAGACGCTCAACCACTGAGCCACCCAGGTGCCCCTTTTCATACACTTCTGCGTCACAAACAAAACAAAATGTTGGGATCAGTGCATTCTTGGGGGCAGAGTGTAGGGTTGGAGCCGTGGTCCCATGCCATACTGTAGGACTGAGAGTGGTGAGCTCCGGGGGCCTTCTCTGCGCAGGCTCTGCAGGGCTCTGCCCTTGTCAGGGGTCAGGGTGCCCAACTGCAGCCCAGCCTCCCTCCCCTGCAGTGTACATCATTCTCGGCCGTGTCTTCCTGCTGTCTGCAGTTGTCCTGTCTTTCCTTACTACCTTCATCCTGGTGTCCTTTGCATCTCAGCTGTTTCCAAGGACCCGGAAGCACAATTTGGTGTCGGCCTTCATCAGCTTCCTCACAGGTGTGGAAGAGGCAGGCAGGCCTTGTCCTCAGGCAGGCCTGAGCCTTGGGGAGGGGCTGGCAGGGGGGACCCAAAGGTGGGGAGATGGTTGGTCTCCGTGATGTCAGGAGAGAGGGAATATTTAGGGCTCCTCTCGCCTGCTGCCTTCTCTTAGGCAGCCTGCCACCCAGGATGACAGTCCCTCTCCCTGGGGATACTTGGCACCCTGCACTTCCAGCTAGCACAGCCCTCACTACACTGGCTTGGGGTCATCTGTCTGGGGGTCTTTTTACTGTAATCTTTATCCCAGCAACTGTCATAGAACCTAGCACAGAATGACAATATGGAAGGAAATATATAAGTGAAATATAAGTGTTTTTGGATGAATGGATGGAAGACACCATCTCTGCCCTTTGGAACCTTTTGACTTTAAAAGGCTGGCCAAGGCCCTACCCTGGGAGGCTCCCATCACTTGGAGGAGGTGGAACGCTCACAGTGGGAAAATCAGGTTGAGTTGCACCCAAAGCGTCACACCCAGGGGGGCTCATCTGTAGTCAGCCAATGGCATGGGCACATAGGGTACCCGGGAAGGGATTTCTGGTTCCGGGGCCCGTGGGAGGTGAGGCACGTGGGCTTTGAAATGAGTTGGGAAGGAGGGCAAGACAGGCATGTGGGGTAGAGATTATTGGCTCTGAGAGGGCACAAGTGTGGGCTGGAGAAAAGAGTCTCCACACAGGAGCCACACGGGCTGCAGGCCATGTGACTCTGATTAAGAGCAAAGGTGGGAACCATGGGAGGAGAGCCAAGAGTGCCTCCCTGTGACCCTGCAGGGGTCTGTGCCTTCCTGGCCTTGTTGCTGCATGCCCTGGAGATCCAGAATCTGAGGATGAAGCCCAACCCCCCCAGTTCTCCGTACAGTGGCCTTACTACGTCCTTGGCTTTGCCATTCTTCTGTTTATAGTGGCTGGTGAGTGTCCTGGGGCTGCTGCCCTTCTCCCTGCCTACTGTCTGAATGCAGGAGCTGTGGACACTCTAGAGTGGTGCTGTCCTAAACTGTAGTCACTAGCTACTTGTGGCTATTTAATTAATTAAAATGAAATAAATAAAGATTGAGTTCCTCATTCATGCTAGCCACATTTCAGGTGTTCAGTAAGCACATTCTTATGTGTCTAGTAGCTGCCATATTGAATGGTGTAGATGTAGAAATTTTCATCATTGCAGAAAGTTCTACTCAACAGCACTGCTCTAGAGCCTCAGCCCTACTCCCATCCTCATCCTCCCTGACTTTTAGAACCAACCTCCAGATTTCATATTCTATCTTACTTTGCCCTGACTCCTACAGATTTCTATGCCTATCTCTATCTCTATATTGGAATCTATGATCTTATTCACCTCACCTTCACCTGTCTTTATATACCATCACCATCTAAGCACTGAATCCTATCTAATTTTGTTCTTTTAAAAAAATTTTTGTTTAAAGATTTTATTTATTTATTCATGAGAGACACAGAAAGAGAGTCAGAGATGTAGGCAGAGGGAGAAGCAGGCTCCATGCAGGGAACCTGATGTGGGACTCCAGCCCGGAACCCCAGGATCACACCTTAGCCAAAGGCAGACACTCAACCACTGAGCCACCCAGGCATCCCTCTAATTTTGTTCTTTTTCCCTACTCTTCTTCCTGCTATATTAACCTCACCCATGCATGACATAATCTATTTTAACTTGACTTTAATATACATTGAATATATGCAAATATTTATAATATATAAGAGATAGGTAATTAAGAATAAACTGTATGCCCATTTCCACCTTCTAGTTTAAGAACTAGCCGTATTTTCGTGGAATCCATTATTTGTAAGTTACATTCTTATTTATGTATCACCGAGGAAGAAAAAGGATGCCTAGAATAATTACTAAGGTCCTATAGCTTGTAAGGCACATCCTCATTTCAGAAATGTGAAAAAAATGGGCTTGCCAACATTGATGAAATATGGTAGAATATTAAGTATCTTTGAAGTCTTCCCTCCCTCAACCATGTGGTTCTTCCTGACCCCATCCTCTCTCTCCCTGCAGGAACCAATTATTCTGGTGTTTATGATAATCACATTTGCTACACAAATATTTATCCTTAAATGATATATTGCTTAGTCTCACATGTTTTAAACCTTAGTATAATAGTACTGTGTTTGTTCTTCTGGAACTTACTTGATCGACATTATAACCCCTATGTTGATAACAAGGAACTCTAAGTTTCATTCATTTTTACCATCTTAAGTATTTAATTGTATAACTAAGCTTGTCTTTAGGAGCATGGTATTTCCAGAGTTTTTTTTTTTTTAAGATTTTTTTTTTTTTTTAAATTCATGAGAGACACAAAGAGAGAGGCAGAGACACAGGCAGAGGGAGAAGCAGGCTCCCTGTGGGGAGCTAGATGTGGGACTCGATCCTGGGACTCTAGGACCATGCCTTGGGCCGAAGACAGATGCCCAACCACTGAGCCACCCAGGCATCCCTCAAAATGTTTTCTTTTTTAACTTTGTCTTGTGATGCATCCGTAGTTATGTGCTTCTTTTTTCATACTTAATTTTCATTTTTCATTGCCAGTTTTGACAGGTTTGCCATATTTTTAGTCTTTCCAAAGAACCAGCTTTTAGCCTTCTTGAACCTTCATATTTTATGTTTGTTTTCTATTTAATTAATTTTTGCTTCTTATTTTGCACTACTGCGTTTATTCTGCCTTTTTGTTTTGTTTTGTTTTGCATTTATTCTGCTATTCCTTTTCCAGCTTCTTTTTTTTTTATTTTTATTTTTCTTTTTCCAGCTTCTTAAGTCAGGATCTAAACCCATTGCTTACTTCTTCTTTTCTAAGTAGGCAATTAAAGCTTAGTTCCCCTGTAAGAATTGCTTTATTTGTATGTCCTATTTTCATAGGTAGTATTTTATGTTAGTGTTCTTTTCAAGTATTTTCTCGTTCCTTTTGTGATTTTTTGGATCCATTAATATTTTAAAGTATACTTTTAAAATTCCAAGATAATTTTTATTGTATCTTTGTGTTAATGATTTTAACTTAATTTTGATGGAATGAGAGATCATGGTCTATATAATCCTTATGTGTTCAGATTTATTAAGAACGTGTTTTATAGACTAGTTTGAGGTCCATTTTCATGTTTTATGTTGAACGCAATTTTTAATTTATAAACATTAGATCAGGCTTATTAATTATATTATTTAAATCTTGATTTAGAATTGTTCTATTTTGGGGCACCTGGGTGGCTCAGTGGTTGAGCGTTTGCCTTTGGGTCAGGTCATGATCCTGGGTCTGGGATCAAGTCCTGCATCAGGCTTCTTGTGGGGAGCCTGCTTCTCCCTCTGCCTATATGTCTCTGCTTCTTACTCTGTATCTCTTATGAATAAAAAAAAAAAAAAAAAAAAGAATAGTTCTATTTTACTGGTGGATTAAACTTTTATTAATCATTATGCTGTGACCCTTTTAATTTCTAGTAATCCCTTTTGTTCTGTTTTATCTGATACTATTCTAGCTACTTCTACATTCCTTAGGTTAGTATATGCCTGTTATATATCTTTCTAATTTTTTGTTTATATTTAATCACACAGCTTATGATTATATCTTTTTCATCTAGTCTTATAATCTTTGTCTTTTCACAGGAGCATTTATTATTGATTTACTTATTGTGACTACTGATATATTTGTATTTTTTCCTACCACCTTACTTTGGGTTTTCAGTTTTTTTCTGCTTCCCACCCCCCACCTGTCTTGCCTTGCTTTGAATCGACTGACTTTTATTGATACAATTCTCATTATATTTCTCTCTTTAGAAGTTACACAGTCTATTTATATTCTTATGGTAGTTACTCTTTACATTTTTATGTGCTTAGTAAATGAAGTTGAAAGTTCATTGACATATTTGTTCTTTTTATAAATAATACAACGTAATGCCTTCCCAATTTATATGCTATTTTGCATGTTTTAGTTTCTTTTGTTTTCTTTTTAATTCTGTATATTTGACATTATTATTTTATGCATTTAATATTTGTTGATTTAAATTTAGCCACATATTTACCAGTTTAGGGGCTCATCAAACCTTCTCAGACCTTCTGTCCTTCTGCCTGAAATACATCCTTTATAATGGATTTTAGTGAAGGTCAGTTAGAGATATACCCTCTCATATTTTGTTTGTATGAAATAATCTTTGTTTCATTTTTTTAATTAAAATTAGTTTTGAACTTATATATTTTTTCAAACTTATATTTTTAAGTTGACACTATTCTGACAGCATTCAAAATATTCTATTATCATTATTTTACTACTTCCATTGTTATTGCTGACTGTAAAAATGTCATTTTTTTTGAAGCAATCTTCTTTTTCTCTCTCAGACTTTCTTTGATACTTTGTAGGATGTGGATATTTGTATTATGATTTGTGTTGTGAATGGAGTCTGGAGAGTGATGTCTTTCAGAATTTTTTTTTAATATTTTATTATTTATTCATGAGAGACACAGAGAGAGAGAGAGGCAGAGACACAGGCGGAGGGAGAAGCAGACTGCACGCAAGGAGCCTGGGACTTGATCCCGGGTCTCCAGGATCAGGCCCTGGACCGAAGGCGGCACTAAACCGCTGAGCCACCCGGACTGTCCCATGTCTTTCAGAATTTATACACCATTTGTATCTCTTTTTTTATCTCTATGTTCTTTCCTTCTGTTTTCTTTCCTTCGTGGAACTCCAGGAGGACATCTGCTAGACTTTGTCACTCTACCCTATGTATTTCTCTCTCTCTCTTTTCATGCTTTACATCTGTTTGTCTTTCTGGGCTGCATTCTGAATAACTTATATAGATGTATCTTCAACTTCATCTATTCACTTTAGAGCAGTGTCTGGTCAACTGCTTAACCTATCCATTAAGTTTTTATTTCAGTCAGTCTGTTTTTATAACTGAAAATTATATTTTCCCTTAATTCATGTTATTGTTATATTCTTTTTCCTGACTTATATTTTTAATCTAGTCTCTAAATCTATTTTTAATTGTACATGTTAGACATACTTTGCATTCTGTGTCATATAAGTTAAACAACTGAATGATACGCAGTTCTGAGTCCATTGGCTGCTTGTTTTGCAGGCTCTTATTTGTGGTGTCTTCTTTCTTAGTATGTTTGTGAATTCAGTTTCCTTGGAATTTTTTTTCAAGTAGAAATTCTTTGAAGCCTGTATTTAACATGTTTTTTTTAAATAATTTATTTGAGAGAGAGAGATTGAATGAGCAAGTGGCAGTTATGGGCAGAGGGAGAAGGAGAAGCAGGCTTTCTGCCAAGCGGGACCCAGGACCCTGAGATCATGACCTGAGTTGAAGGCAGATGTTTAACTGACTGAGTCACCCAGGCACCCTAAAGTATTTTTTATTTTTAAATATTTTATTTATTTATTCACGAGAATCACAGAGAGAGAGAGAGAGAGACAGACAGACAGGCAGAGGGAGAAGCAGGCTCCATGCAGGGAGTCTGACCCAGGACTCAATCCCTGGTCTCCAGGATCACCCTAGGCTGAAGGCGGTGCTAAACCGCTGAGCCACCTGGGCTTGCCCTAAAGTATTTTTTCAAAAAGAGATTTGCATTTGCTTCTGCTTGAGTGTTTGGGTGCACAACTAGCCTAAGATCACACTTGATATTGTGAATTTAGTTGCAGATATATGTAACAGCTGGCCTCTGTTTATGAATTCTCAGTTAATACAGGTAACTTTGAAGTTCTAGCTTCATATGGCAGACCCTTATAAGATTCCTCATTCTGAGCAGGCCCTAGGCTTTTCCTTTTCTTTTCTTTTTTTTAAATTTTATTTATTTATGATAGTCACAGAGAGAGAGAGAGAGAGGCAGAGACACAGGCAGAGGGAGAAGCAGGCTCCATGCACCGGGAGCCCGACGTGGGATTCGATCCCGGGTCTCCAGGATCGCGCCCTGGGCCAAAGGCAGGCGCTAAAACCGCTGCGCCACCCAGGGATCCCTCCTTTTATTTTCTATGTACCGGATGGCCTACAGAATGGAAACTCAGGGTCACCTGGGTTGAGTGTATGTCTCCAAGGTGCAGGCCCCTTGTGTGCTTGCTTAAACTCTGAGTTTCTGTTTTCACTAGGGTTTTGTTTCTAAGAATGCCTTACCCTGATGCCAGTTTGATGATGTATTTACAAAAAAGTTTTGAAGAAATATTTTATATAGGATTTTTATTGTATTTAATGGGAAAGTATTTAGTCTGCTATAATGCTGAAAATAGCAGTTATCCTTTATCTCAGTCTTAACCTTAATACAGCATTTATTATTCACTCAAGATATCTCCATTTGTTTAATGACATCAATTCTCTTTTTCCTTTCTTTTACTTTACTGAGGATCTTGAGTTGGGCATTAAGAGGTCTTGGTTTTCCTCTCTCTCTCTCTCTCTCCTTTTTTTTTTTTTTTTTGGTTTTCCTCTCTTAAACCTTGTTTTCTTAACCTATTAATAATTGGACAGTTGTTAAGATGTCTTCCAACACTGGCTATGGTTCTGTGAGCTTATCCATCTATTGGTATGCCTTGTCTTGTGATGCACTCTTGTTTGCTGTCTGTCTCTGTAATACTTTGCATTGGGTGGGGGAGAATGAGGGAAGGTGGGTGCAGGGTGGGGGTGGGGGTCACATTAGAGAAGGGAATTCCTGACCTCCAGTAGGGTGCAGAGCTCTACACTCTCTAACCTGACCCAAACTTTTCGCTGTCACCCAGGTGCCATCTGCCTCTTTCAAGAAACAGCCTGCCTTGGCTGCCATTTGTTGCCCAACTCCCAGAGTATGGAGGAGACCCAAGGGGTCCCACACCTGGAGAATCTGGAGAGTTTGGGAGGAGAACTGAGCTCAATACAAAAGGAGACACTGCTGAAGGAAGAAACAATTATCTAGTCCAGGAGAGCATCCTCCACCTGTCATCTGCTGTGTGAATGGATTTGTGGAGGCCCGAGTGGCAGCCAATCTCTGTGGCTTCTGTTGAACTTCCTGAGTGTCACTTCCCCACACTCACAGTGATTCTGTCTGGCTTGTATTTGCAATTTGGTAAAAGTTTTTTGAATTATTCTGTTTCCTGAGTGGGTGTTTTTTTGTTTTTTGCAGGTGTTTTTAATAAAAGAAAGACTACTGTCTGTTAATCCAAATCTTAAAAAAAAAAAAAAAAACAGCCTGGAGGAAAAGAGGGGAGGAAGGAATATTATCAAATGATCAAGTGAAGTCAGCTTTTGTAAAACAAAAACAGAATATGACCCCAACAGAGGGTGTTTGAGTTAGTGACATTAAAAAGAAAAAGTGATGTCCCCAGACAAAGGTGTGACCAGTTCAGGAAAATTGAGTATGTGTTGGAGGGAAGAGTTGGGAGTGGTTAAAAGTGAATGCTTCTCAAGATTGAGCTCCCAGGTCTGCAGATCTGAGGTTAATGGGTCTGTGCCACCTGGGACGGAGGACGGGAGCAGAGGCAAGTTAGCCAACCAACAAACAGGTGTTCCAACCTCTCACTAGAGCCAGGGCATCTCTAATGTGCCCTCCCTTCACTGTCCTGATAGTGCTTTCAGACTGGGGATCTCTCAACCCCTCAGCTAGGATGGGTGTGGCTAGAAATATGAATGCTTCTGGGCAGTTGTGGGGGGTAGCTAGAACAGTGATCCAAGCCCTCTGCTGGCTTCATATCCACTCTTCATCCAAACAATACCCACCAGCAATGTCTAAAGAACACAGAGGTGGGAAAAGCTCCTATAACTTAAACAGTGCAACTTCAGAAACAAGTATGGAAAGCTGTATAGGTCTTTCTGGAAGGGCATCTGATGGACATGGCTAGAGTTGTGTGGGCTTTGTTCTGTTAGCCAATGTTCATTATAGGTGGACCTTATGCAGTGCACCTCGGAGGTTAGTTCTTGTTCTCCAGAGGCTCACATCCAAGCAGAGAATCTAAGACATGTGTACCTAAAAACAGCCACTTGGTGTTTTTATTTATTGTTATTATTTTTTTAATTTATTTTAATTTTTAAAATTTATTTTATTTACTTAAAAAATTTTACACTTGGTTTTTTTTTTTTTTAATTTTTATTTATTTATGATAGTCACACAGAGAGAGAGAGAGAGGCAGAGACACAGGCAGAGGGAGAAGCAGGCTCCATGTACCGGGAGCCCGACGTGGGATTCGATCCCGGGTCTCCAGGATCGCGCCCTGGGCCAAAGGCAGGCGCCAAACCGCTGCGCCACCCAGGGATCCCCTACACTTGGTTTTTTTAGATTTTTAGTTTTATTTTTTAAGTTTATTTTTTATTTATTATTATTTTTTTAAATTTATTTACTTATGAGAGACACAGAGAGAGGCAGAGACATAGGCAGAGGGAGAAGCAGGCTTCTCACAGGGATCCCGATGTGGGACTCGATCCCTGAACTGGGATCACACCCTGAGCCAAAGGCAGATGCTCAACCACTGAGCCACCCAAGTGTCCCTATTTATTTATTTGAGAGAGAGAGAGAGCGAGAGCAAATGAGAGAGTGCAAACTGGGGGAGCAGCAGAGGGAGAAGGAGAAGCAGACTCCCCATGGAGCAGGGAGCCCAATGTGGGATCATGACCTGAGCTGATGGCAGATGCTTAACTGACTGAGCCACCCAGGCACTCTAGTTTTTAGTTTCTTAGTACATTTCTCTCCAAAAGGTATCTTGAGTTTCTTTTTTTAAAGATTTTATTTATTTATTCATGAGAGACACAGAGAGAGGCAGAGACATAGGCAGAGAGAAAGAAACAGACTCCATGCAGGGAGCCCAATGCGGGACTTGATCCCGGGACTCCAGGATCACACCCTGGGCCAAAGGCAGATGCTCAACCACTGAGCCACCCAGGCATTCCTCTTGAGAGTTTCTTATTAGAGATATGATGACAGCCTAGTTCCAGTCTCCTCACTTTTCCTCTTAAAGAACAACAACAACAACAGCAAAAAAACGGGAACTATAATTATTAGTGAAACTAGGAATAGAGAAAACTTATAAACTCTAAAATGTGTAACTGTAGCCCAAAACACTAAACCAGCAGAACCAGTATAGGAAGCCACAACTGGGACGCTGGTATGGTGGGCAAAGAGAGGTGCACCAGAGAATATATAGAGGCCCAAGTGGTAGCAAATTTAAAAAATCATTAACAAATATAACCTTCAGATATCTGAGAAGGATCCATCCTGAGAGGGAATGGCTATGAACAGGATAGGAAAGAAACAGAGGGTGTACAGGGGAGGCAGAGAAGGCATGGAAAGTACATGGGAGTCTATAAAAGGAAAGATTTAAGGAAGCAAAGCACCACTTTATTTTAAAAAAATATTTTATTTATTTATTTAATAGTGCACAAGCAGGGGGAAGGGGCAGAGGGAGAAGCAGGGTCCCCATTTAGCAGGGAGCTGGATGTGGAATTCCATCCCAGGACCCCAGGATCATGACCTGAGCCAAAGGTAGATGCTTAACTGACTGAGCCACCCAGGTGCCCCAAAGCACCACCTTTCAAAAGAGAGACCACTTTGTAAGGTTAGTGACAGTATGGCTTGGGGAAAGAAAGTGAATGGTAGTACGAGCCCTTTGAATCAAGTTAGTATGTAAGAATCCAAGGAATCCTGACTACACAGGGAACTATTCTTAAAGAAAGCATCCCTCCATGTAGCGATGAAAGAGTCCTCACACTGAGAAGCAGGGAATGCTTTGCTTCCCTGACTCCCCTTCCATAGGCTCCTGCAAGTAGCTGGCCCAGGAAAACCCAACTCATTCAAATAAGAGTAAAACAGCAGTGTCAATACAAAGGTATTATTACTAAAAAAAAAAAAAAAAAAAAAAAAAAAGTGGAAAGAGAAGTTGTAAAAGTCTGGATATGAAGAAAATTCACCAGAAAAGTGTTGGCACAGACTAAAGGAACATTCCGAGATAAATTTAAAAACTTAATGAAACAATTGCAGCTAGGGGGACCCTCTCCCCCCCAAACCAGAATCATAGGAACTCAGAGAAAAAACATCCTGACAACAGAAGGTGAGGGTCAGATAATGGGAATTTGACATGAGAATGGACAGAATTCAAGAAAGGACTGGAAAAAGTTAGGGATGAAGACTAACTTACAAAAAGTACCAGAGTAGGTCCTGGAACAGTGAGAGAACTAAAGGATAAGTGAAGGAAATGAAATACCCAAAAAGGATTAGCAAGAAAGTGGAAGCAATAAAAGACAAGAAATGGAGATTCAAGATGTGTGAAACTGGAGTCCCCAGGGTAGGGACTGAAATAAAGAGACAGAACTGATAACTTAAGACTAAAATTCAAGAAAAATCTCCTGGAGTAGATTTCCTTTCTACTGAAGGGGAGTAACATTTACTTGGGGTAGTTGATAAAAAAGTGATCAACCCCTTCCATGATGGGGCAGTGATTTTTTTTTTTTAAGTCGAAACACATACTTTTGAATGAAGCACTGTCCCTATTTTAGAAGACTCGGAGCCTATTTGCTTCCTTTATGCACAAATACTGACATTTGATATGAAATTACCAGAGACATGCAAAAATGTGACTCAGACAAAAAAATAACCCATTGAAGCAGATGCCATGTTCAACCAAATATTGGGGTTAGCGGACACAAACTTTAAAATCGCTATTACTAATATGTTAAAGAAATTAGAAGAAAAGAAGTGCAAAATTTTGATGTAATGTGTTGGCTAAGCTGTAGGATATTGGGCATTGTTACATGTTGTGGATGGAAGTGCAAAATGAGATAACCCCTGCTGAGAGGAATCTTGCAAAACTACAGAAGCATTACTGCTTTAACTTTAATTTAAATATTTACCTAACAGATATACCTGCACACATGTTTAAAACTGACATAGGTACAGGGATACTAAGTGCTGCATTTGTCACATCAAATGAGCAACTCAAAACTCCATTAATAGGGGACATGTTAAATTATGTTACATTGGTGTGCCTGGGTAGCTCATTGGTTGAGCATCTGCCTTTGGCTCAGGTCATGATCCTAGAGTTCTGGGATTGAGTCCTGCATCAGGCTCCCTGCAGGGAGCCTCCTCCCTCTGCCTGTGTCTCTCATGAATAAATAAATAAAATCTTAAAAAAAATTATGTTACATCCACCCTAACTTAAGAAAAAAAAGTGAAAAAAAAGTGAGAAAGATGTCTATATATACTGACATGGAAAATTTTCTAGGGCACACTACATGATAAAAAACAAGGTGTCTGGTATAGTCCCTTTTCTTTTTTTTCTTCTTCTTCTTTTTTTTTAATAGTCCCTTTTATGTAAGAAACGAAGTGTGGAAGATAGGGAAAAATATACAAATATTAGTATTTGCAAATAAATACTTGAAGTCCATACAATAATATGTCTTTGGAATGGGGGTAGATTAGGGAATGGGCTAGGAGGAATGAGCAGAGATAGGAGCAATAATTCTTGTGGTTACCCTTTTATATGATTTTGACTCTCAGATCATGTAAATGTTTTACCTATTCAAAAACTCATATTAAATCTTAAAGGTTAAGTAAGGGTAATATAAGTAAAATATAGATATACCAGATACAATTCTATCCACTTTTCTTATCAAAGAACCAGAGAGATAATTTTCTTCTGTTAGATAATTTTCTTCTTTTCTCCCTCTGCCCCTCTGTCTCTTTCTCCCTTTTCCCCTTCTTTTCTCTCAGGCCCTTAGAATGATCTCCACTCATTTGGTACCCTGTTCCTTGCTAGGAAAAAATGCCCTCCTTTATTTAGCATCCCTGAAATCTGTCTTCTTTTTGACAATGCCATTTCCCCAGCAATCCTTTGGCTATATTCTGATCTTTCGGGGCTAGGAGCAGGTTGGAATTTGTCTGATATGCTTTGTAGTTTTCAGACTACTGTTTTTAATTTTTCTCCAAAAATCTTCTCTTTAAATAATGGGAAAGAAGGGACAGTGATGTAGAAAAGCTCTTTCAAATACAAACAAGAAGTATAAAACAATTTGGCAAGTTCTAACATAGGATCCAGATAGATTACAGGAGTCCAAATGCAGAGGCACCTTTATACAGGAAAAAATAGAGCCATCAACAAATGGTGTTGAGGAAAACTTGATAGCCACTGGGAATATGGAAGGCACAGAGATTTTTCTAAAAAGAATGAATGAAGGGCTCAGTCGGTTAGGCATCTGCCTTCTGCTTAAGTCATGTTATCAGGGTCTTGGGATGGAGGTCTGTGTCCAGCTCCCTGCTCGCCAGGGAGTCTGTTTCTCCCTCTGCCCTTTCCCCTCCCACGCCATCCCCTGCTTGTCTGTACATGCTCTTTCTCTCTCTCAAATAAATCTTTTTTAAAAAAAGGGTGAATGAATTTGAATACATAAAACATACAATCTTTTGCTATGCATGAAGTTCATTAAGAAAGACAAATGAGAGGTGCCTGAATGGTGTAGTTGGTTAAGTGTCTGCTTCTTGGTTTCAGCTCAGGTCATGATCTCAGGGTCCTGGGATGGAGCCCCACTCGGACTCTGTGCTCAATGTGGAGTCTGCTTGAGGATTCTCTCTCTCTAAAATAAGTCAATAAATCTTAAAAAAAAAAAAAGACAAATAGGAAAATATTTGCAAGACATTTGGAAAAGGGGAGTACCTTGGTGGCTCAGTGTATTAAGTGTCTGCCTTCAGTGCAGGTCATGATCCTGGGGTCCTGGGATTGAGCCCTGCGTCGAGCCCTGGATTGGGCTCTCTGCTCAGCAGGGAACTTGCCTCTCCCTTTCCCTCTGCCACTCCCCCTGCTTATGCTCTCTCTCTCAAATAAATAAATAAAATATTTAAAAAAAAGCAAAGTGCAGAACAGAATATAGCATGATTCGGTTTATGGAAAGCAAACAGGATATGCATTTTATGCTTAGTTTGCCTATAACATTTCTGGAAAAGTTCCTGAAACCTGCTTCATGGCCTCTCCCAACCTCTGATTCCTCAGCTTCTCCTTGTTCTTGTTGGTTTCCAGCCCTCCTCTCTGCTCGGCTTGGACTCATAGTCACTCAATACAAACTCCTCCCACTAGAGTCTTCATTCCTTCTGCCTTGGCATTCTCTTATATGTCAAATCCTGACATTAGGTTAATCCACCTGTTTGCCTTAAGCAGATTTGCCCCAGATTGTACAAACAATTGTGTGGATTGATTCTATCATTTATTTTTTTAAAAAAGATTTATTTATTAGAGAGAGAGAGAGTACAGCAGGGGTAGGGGCAAGGGGAGAGGAAGAAGCAGACTCCCCGCTGAGCAGGTAGCCTGATGTGGGGCTCCATCCCAGGTCCTGAGATAATGATCTGAGCCAAAGGCAGATGCTTAACTGACTGAGCCACCCAGGCAACCCAGTTGTTTTGTTTTCAATCTCACTTGGGTGTTCAGTGTTGCTTTCCAATCTTTCCATTCAACCTTAAGATTTTTTTCTTACATCATTCTTCACAATAGATATTTTGGTTTGTACTCCATTATTTGAGCCCATCATTGCCCCATGTGTTCTCAGCAGGTAACATCACTGGAGAAAGAGGCCAAGATTGAACTCCTTATACACCTCTGTAGAATAATTTTATTTTATTTGTTTATTTTTAAGATTTTATTTATTCATGAGAGACACACAAAGAGAGAGAGGCAGAGACACAGGCAGAGGGAAGAAGCAGGCTCCATGGAGGGAGCCCGACGTGAGACTCGATCCCAGGTGTCCAGGATGAGGCCCTGGGCTGAAGGCAGTGCTAAACCACTGAGGTACCCGGGCTGCCCTGTAGAATCATTTTAAAACCATTGACTTCAGCAAACTACAGCCCTTGTGTCAAATCCTGTGCTAGCTGTGAGCTAAACAGGGTTTTAATCCTGTAAAAATGAAGAATGTGTGAAAATATGTTCAGCAAAACCTGGGATAGTTACTTTCTGGCCTTTCATAGAAAAAGTTTGCTGATCCCCAACCTTTGATCATGCATCTTTGATTCTTTTCTTCCCAGTTCAGAGGAGCACCTTCCCCTCCCCAAAGCTTAACTGAGCCACCAGGAACCCTTGAAGAAAGTTTTTTTTTGATAGCACTATGAATAGCTCAGTTTTCCCAGACAGACTGAACCAATCAGGCATTTTCTTTTGGCCTTGGATGACAAGGTTGTTTCATACCCCTCAGGTGTGAGTGTATGTTAATGGACTGAGGCTATCTGACACTATTTCCAAGGTGGATTGATCACGTAATTTGTAACATAAAAGAATCTAAGATCCTGTGAGCCCAGCTGGACTTGGTTCTGGATGCAGTATAAGGTATGGACAGGGCATTGTCTCTTTCCAGATGACCAATCAGTTGTCTGCTTTTTAAATGTCCATTCTTATAGATATGGCCTTTGACATTTACTAAATTATTCCATCTTCTCTCTCATTCTCCAGATCCAATCAATCCTCAAACCTTGGTAGTTTCCTATTGCTCCTTGCAATCTCAGGTCTCACCGACCGCCCCAGGTCTGTCTCATCCTCTCTCTCCTGGACTGCCTTTCTAAGGCTCGTTTACCGACAGTCGTCTCATGTCTCCACCCCTCTCCCTCCTTGCTCAACCTTTCTCAAAGAGTTCTCAGCAGCTTCTTTCCAAAATTTGTCCCTTCTCGCTTTTAAACCTTTCCACGGCTTCCCATTGCCTTTAGATTATCATCCGAAATGCCTTGTTTAATCGTCTGCTCCAGTGGCCAGGGTGGTGTCGCAATGCCGTCAATCCCTCCACATTTGCTGGGGATACTCACCTCACTTTTTGGTCCATCCTTCAAATCTAAGCTGAGGAGCCTTCCCTGACTCCCTTCTGCCAACTACTCGGGTGGAGGTCCCTCTTATGCGAGCCTACAGTATTCGGTGCTTCCCTCTGTCACTCTCGGCTCTGGCGCCTCACACAACGTACAAGAAGCGCGGAGTAAGCACGTGTACACCCATTGGACTCTAAAGTTCCTGGAGGGAGGCTTCGTGTCTGGTAGTAGGTCTGCAGCGTCCTTCTCACAGTGGGAAAGCAGATGCAAAGGCACTGAGGTGCCCAAGGGCCTGACGACCGCGAGACTGCCCAGGAACCGGGGCTGGGGACTCGCGCCTGAGCTCCGGGACGGCGCCAGTAGCCCAGTGATCATAGAGACGCACCGGCCTCCGAGAGTCCTAGAGAGGAAGCGGAAGGGGCTCTTTCCTCACGCACCTGTCTGACAGCGTCCGTGGTCCACTTCCGGTTCGGTGAGGGCTTGGGCCGGCCTGGCGAGGCTGAGGGACCGCGGTGAGAGGCGGGTTGGGGGCGACTTGGGCGGTGGGGCCGAGGCGGACGGGGCGGCTCGGCCGGGCTTCGGGGCAGCTGCGGGCCGCGGTGGCGGTGGCGGCGGCGGGGCTGACGCAGGGGGCGGCGCGTCTCCCCGGAGCTGCCTCTCGCGGCTCGGAGGCCTGGCGGGGCGGGATGCGGAGGCTCAGGTGGGGGCGAGGTTGGTCTGGTCTGGCCCGGATTGCCTCAGCGCCGCGGGTGGCCACGAACTCGGGTCCCGGAGCCAACCGCGGATCTCTCAGAAAATTGAAAGTAGTCATTTTAGAGCGAGACGTGGGACGCTTACGTAAAGAATGGCTTCTCTCTCTCTCTCTTTTAAAGATTTTATTTATTTATTATGAGAAACAGAGAGAGAGGCAGAGGGAGAAGCGGGCTCCATGCAGGGAGCCCGACGTGGGACTCGATCCCGGGTCTCCAGGATCACGCCCTGGACTGAAGGCGGCGCTAAACCGCCGAGCCACCTGGGCTGCCCTGGCTTCTCTTTAAGCCTTCTCTTCGCAAAGTGCCAGGGAAGAGAGATGAATGAGGAGGACCTTTCTCGCCCTCAGGGAATCTGGTAGTCGGAGACACATTGGTAAACATTTGCGCTGTGATGCGATAAATTCAACAGGGGAGTGAATAAATACAGTAGCTGAAAAGTCAGGAAAGAGAAAGCTCAATTGATGCAGTAGAGAAAACGAGTTGACTGAAAATATAAAATAGGTTTAAGAAGGATGTATAAGAACACAAACACCTGAGAGAATATTAAGTAGAAGCTTTTTTTTTTTTTTTTTTTTTTTAAGTAGAAGCTTTTAAAGTACCTCCTGCCAGTTGCTTTAACTCTGTGGTGTTAAGAGTGATCTTTCCCTCTTCTAAAAACCGGGCCTCTTCCCCACTTTGGACTCCTAGGTCTGTCTTCCCAGCTTGGGTACCCCCCCACTCCTACTTGAGCCCATCATGAAATTAAATAGTACTCATCCTCCAGTCTAGTATAAGCCTCTTCTTTTTCTTTTTCTTTTTTTTTTTTTAATTTTTATTTACTTATGATAGGCACACAGAGAGAGAGGCAGAGACACAGGCAGAGGGAGAAGCAGGCTCCATGCACCGGGAGCCCGACGTGGGATTCGATCCCGAATCTCCAGGATCACGCCCTGGGCCAAATGCAGGCGCCAAACCGCTGTGCCACCCAGGGATCCCATGCCTCTTCTTTTTCATGTGAACTCGAACCGACATTAACCTTTCTCTCATTTTGGCTTCCCCCGGTGGCTTTTCTGTGCCCTATCCTTTGGGAGGTGAACCTTGGCCAGCCATCTAACCTCTGATATCTTCAGTTTCTTCATTTGAAAAGTAGGAGGAGGGACGCCTGGGTGGCTCAGCGGTTGAACATCTGCCTTTCACTTAGGGCATGATCCCAGAGTCTGGGGATCGAGTCCCACATCTGGCTTCCTTCATGGATCGTGCTTCTCCCTCTGCCTATGTCTCTGCCTCTTTGTCTCTCATGAATAAATACAGAAAATCTTAAAAAAAAAAAAAGTAGGAGTAATATTCCCTATACAGAATGGTTAATAAGTCTTTTTTTTTAAATTTTTTTTATTTATTTATGATAGTCACACACACAGAGAGAGAGGCAGAGACACAGGCAGAGGGAGAAGCAGGCTCCATGCACCGGGAGCCCGACGTGGGAGTCGATCCCGGGTCTCCAGGATCGCGCCCTGGGCCAAAGGCAGGCGCCAAACCGCTGCACCACCCAGGGATCCCCCAGAATGGTTAATAAGTCTTAAGCTAGAGTGTGTTCACAGGTTTTCTAACTGGTAAAACCTATACAAGTTAAAAATCTTTAAAAATTAAAAAAAATTTTTTTTGAGACAGCAAGAGAGTGTGCACAGGAAGGGAAGGGGCAGAGGGAGAGAGAATCCTGAGGCAGACTCCCTGCTGAGTGCGGAACAGGGTGCAGAGTTCAATCCCAGGACCCTGAGGTCATGACTTGAGGTGAAATCAAGAGTTGGTGCTTAACTGATGGAGCCACCCAGCTCCCCCACAAGTTAAAAATCTTTTGATCAATTATAATGATTATTTGTTACTCTTGTTTCCTCTAAGCTGAGCACACGGTCACATCCAAGCCACTGGCAAGTCTGTTGGTTTTATCTCCAAAATATATCTTGACTCTTCATCTTTGCCACCATCCTGAGCCTCTCCTGCTTGGACCACTGTAAGTGCAGCTTCCCTTCTTGCCCCTGTAACCTATTCTCTTTGGACACATAACAGGCAAAATGACCTTTGTAAAACATAACTCCCCACTAAATAAGATTAAGCCATAATTTTAGTGTGTCCCAGTTCCTGGATAATCTGGTGCTGCCTGCCTCTGCCACCTATTGTGCAGCTGTGTCCCTCATTTAACTCTGTAGAAGCCATACTGTACTTTGGCTTGTTCTCAGATATACACAGTAATTTCTGGCCTCAATCCTTGTGTCTGGAAAAAAATCTTGAATGACTGACTCATTTTCATCCTTTCGGTCTCAGACTACATGTCATCTTTTTAGAAAATCCTTCTTCAAGTTCATCCTCCATTAACAGAGCACCCTGCATATTTCCTTTCTAGAATTTATGAGAGTTTATGAGTTATATGAGTTTCAAAGTGCAAGTGCCTTGTTTGTCTTGTTCTGTATTATATTTCTAGTTTTTGCAGGTCTGACATATGTGTACTTAAAGTGTATTACACTTTTGGAAGAGTAGGCCCAGGTGGCTGATCTAATTATAATGTGTTTTATATTCTCTGATTTTAGTTTTATTTTCCTAATGAGATCCTGTGTGTTTGTGGGTATAAAGTAAACCATAATTTTTCTGCACATACTAGGTGGTTAGCATATACTTACTAAAGTGAATCGACATGATTTGCAGAATATATGTTGAGTCTTTTGAAAGTAAGACTGAAAAAAGTCTTACTTGAAAGTCTGTCCTCCAGCAGAATATCCATTGATGTAGACACAGAACTGGGATGGATTGACTTTCCCTTTGACTCATTTATGCTGTCTTTATTGTTTGGTCTTCTCAACAGACCCTCAGTCTTCTGGGAGGGGTGTGAAGATGCTTAAGGAGCGTCCAGGGATGGCAGAAGACCCTCAGCAGCAGATAGGTGTTCCTGTGGTAAAGCTGGAGAAAGAGTTGCCATGGGGCAGGGGAAGGGAGGACCCTAGTCCTGAAACTTTTCGACTGAGGTTTCGACAGTTCCGCTACCAGGAGGCGGCTGGTCCCCAGGAAGCCCTCAGGGAACTCCAGGAACTCTGTCGTCAGTGGCTGAGGCCTGAGCTGCACACCAAGGAGCAGATCTTGGAGCTGCTGGTGCTGGAGCAGTTCCTAACCATCCTGCCACGGGAGTTCTATGCCTGGATTCGGGAGCACGGCCTGGAGAGTGGCAAGGCTCTTGTGGCCATGGTGGAGGACTTCACAGAGAGAACATTGGAGGCCAAGGCGGTGGGTGAGAAGGGGGCATCTGGGTCTTGTTTCATTGGTGTGAGAAGGGGAGATTTAACGAATTGAAAGGTTTGAGGAAGCCATGGGAGTAGATGAGGTGTACAGTCTCCTTTCTCTGTTCCCAGACTCCTTGATGTACTTTCTGGAAGACAGTGGAGTTTTCAGCAAGAAAAGCCATTCTCAGGGAAGAATCAGGGCCTGTAGAAGGGCCTTTAGCTTCCTTTTTGGTCATCAGGACAGAGGTCATATTTCCCTTGTGATCCTCAGTCCTAAAAAAGGCAATCATGACCAGTTTAAGGTCACCCATAGACTTGTTTTTCTTTGGGCAGAGATACATTTTGGAATGCAGGGAATTCCACTTGGGTGAATATTCTTACTAAGAAACATTGTCTGAACAGTGCTGTTTCCATATCTGGGGTGTCGGCTCAAATGGCTCATATTAGCAATTCTGTGGTGGTGTTCTGGTGACACCAGGCAACTGTATCTCAGATGCTTCCTTGGGACTTGACCACATGTCTGTGACTCTTCGGTATAGTCATCTGATTGTTGGCTGGGAAAGAAGAAAGCAGGACTTAATGTTAACTGTTTTGCTTGCAAGTAACCATCTTTCTTCACTTTATCCTTCCTTTTCCTACTGCAGTCACTTCTGACTTCCTCCACAATCCTAGGATTTTTTTTTAAATATATTTTAAAGATTTTATTTATTTATTCATGATAGACATATTTATTTATTTATTTATTTATTTATTTTTAAAATTTTACTTATTTCTGATAGAGAGAGAGAGAGAGAGAGAGGCAGAGACACAGGCAGAGGGAGAAGCAGGCTCCATGCTGGGAGCCCGACGTGGGACTCAATCTGGGGACTCCAGGATCACGCCCCAGGCCAAAGGCAGACGCTAAACCACTGAGTTACCCAGGGATCCCTGTTTGTTTGTTTGTTTGTTTATTTATTTTTAACTCCCAATTTAGGAGCTTAAAAGTAGACCAAGAAAGACCTGTTATTGTGAGTGTGTCTCAGTGTGAGTTGTCTGATTTTTCTTGCTATTTTTAGAGCAAGTTTTTCTCACTAGCTAATTCACTGCAGAATTGAGGCTTTGTATTTTTTACTGTCAGCATTTATAATTGGTGGACTTTTTTTCTAGTAGGAAGTGTTTTGGGCTAAAATTCTCAGCCACACAATATTTAGCCTGTCTGTGATATTTTTCATGGTAGAATTTGGTCAGTATTGAGGCCAGCTGAAGGGACCCTTGCAAAAGAGCATGGGCGCATAATAGTTGCTCAGAACCTGATAAAGCGAGGTTAGCCTCTTTTTCACCTTCTCACTGATGTCCTTGGGAGGAGCCTAACCAGCTTTCTTCCTCTCCCTTGTGGCTGGAATGGTTCTTTTCTTGGTTCTTTCTCTCTCTCTCTCTTTTTAAAAATTTTTATTTATTTGACAGAGTACAAGCAGAGGGAGCAGCAGGCAGAGGGAGAGGCAGAAGCATACTCTCCACTGAGCAGGGAGTGTGGTACGGGGCTCCATCCCAGGACCCTGGAATCATGACCTGAGCTGTAGGCAGATACTTAACAACTGAGCTACTCAGGCGCCCTTGGTTCTCTTGTTAGGTTTTAATTCAGCTCCCTCACAGGGGCTCATTCTAATAGGTGTTGGGGACTGTCCTTAGGTTCCATGCCACGTGCAGGGAGAGCAGCAGGAGACAGCACTTGGCAGAGGCCCTTGGGAACCAGGTGTTCACCTGGGGCCGGTGGAGGTCAAGCCTGAGTGGGGGATGACCCATGGTGAAGGAGTTCAAGGCCTAAACCAAGGCACCGAGGAGCAACTCAGTCAGGACCCTGGAGCTGGGACGCAAGCCTTCCAGGAGCAGGGTAAGATGCAAACAATAAAGAATTAAGGACACAAAACTGCTTTGTGACCCTGTTCTTTACAAGCCTTGCAATTGATAAATTAAGTGACCTGTGAGCTGCAATTACCAGTTTTCCTGGTTACTTCCTTGACTTCAGTTGGAAACAGATGAAGTGAGAAATTGTTTTCTATATTGACTCTGATTTCTGCAGGGGATATCTAGGATTATGTTCTCTTACCATTCTCTTCTCATTTCCTTCACATCCCTTTCTAGAAACCTCCTGGAAATATGCAATTGACATAGGAATATTTTTTAAGTAGGCAGACAAACCATATTCCTAAAAGTAATATATGGAATTATTGTGTTACTGAATTTCAGAGGGGGTTATTCCCAGAGTGTGACCAGGGAGCACGGCTGTATTTCAAGGGACAGGGCATATTGGATTGGGACCATCTTCCCATTTGAGAACAGGGTAGGCTGTACTCAAACCGCTAAATGTATTGAGTCTCCTTAAGGTTCCTAGTGTTCTATGTATCAGGCAGTGGACACCTTTGAACAAGCTAACTGCAAGACAGAGCTAATATTTCTCATGATCTTTTTCCCTTTGCTTAGCTCTGCCAGTTCTTCAGGCTGGTCCTGGCCTCCCTCCAGTGAACAGCAGAGACCAAGAGATGGCAGCTGGGTTCCTTACAGCTGGACCCCAGGTGAGCTTGTATCTCTGACCTTCTGGGTATGTTACTTTGAAAGAAGAATGAGGTTCAGTTTCCTCAAAGTATCTCTGCACAACAAAGCACCATCCACAAGTTGAATTATTCTACTTTTCTTGTTCTGATGGATATGATAGCTTTGTTTTCTCTACTTTATCATCCTCAGTTGTTAACTTGAGTTGAGTCTTATTTATGCCTTAGGGTCCAGGCATAAGGCTCAATTCACTTGTTTTTATTACTCTGTGACTTTTTTTTGGATTGACTCAGGATTACTCTTTTAATTGTGAGGAGAAAGACATTGATAGAAACCCCATAGGCTCGATCTAGGCTGTCACGGTTGCTCAGTAACCCTTTGTGGGTATCCTTTATGGATACTTCTGCTGCTACTCTTCCTCTGAACCCTCTCCTCCCTTGTCAGCAAGAATGTAGCTGTCTCAGGGTTGGGGATTCCCTGGAGCACTGAGCAGAGTGGTTCCTCTGGCCCCTACCCTGGCTATACGAGGAGTTTTGGCCATGTTTGCACTTCTTGTTTGCACTTGCCTGCCATAGATAGGAGTAATGAGCACAGTGGGGCACTCTTGCCGTGTCCGCTGGGTGCTGAGCATTACCAGGGACCTGGGGGATTTCCACTGTGGCACCTTTCTGAAGAGGACAGTGAGTTTTATAGTGAAGAGTTCCTGTAGAAGGAAAGCTGTCATTTGGCAGAAAAAAACATGAATCAAGTGTGGTCTAGCTAAAACAGTGTTTGGGCAAGGTTTACGCCTATGTCATTTCTTATTCCTGTTTTCCTAGGATGGAGACAAAAGATGATAGCCTGTTTTAATTTTGCCAGACCCTCCCCTTCTGCTATAATAGTTCTTTAAGGTGTCACGAATGACACTGAATTTATTTTAACACAGCATTGTTCTTGAGACAAAGCCTCCTCAAATATATACTTAGCTCTGAGGGAAAATCAGGTTTTTTTTTTTTATTATTTTTTATTTTTTTTATTGGAGTTCGATTTGAAAAATCGGTTTTAAAAAAAAGAAAAGAAAAATCATTTTAGAAGAGGGGATAAATAGCACCTCTGAAGCTTGATCAAACTTGAGGATTGAATGGAGGCAATTGAAAAATGGGAATTGGGTGCTGTGGTTGTTAGGGTACAAGCTTAGTGACTGCAGCAGAGACTCAGAAATACAGTGGCTCAGATGAGTCCATTACTTCCCTGACATTAACTGTCAAGAGGTAGACCCTTCTGCTCCCAAGACCAGTAGCAACTTGGTTTCTTCCATCTTCTTGCTCTCTTCTTTCCTAGTGTTTTCCTATGTTCTCTCCTTCTTTTAGACTCTTTACTCTGGGATTATTTCTCTATCTATAGCAATTTCTTGTTGTTTCAGGGGTTAGGGTCATTTAAAGATATGGCCCTAGCCTTCCCTGAGGAGGAGTGGAGGCATGTGACCCCAGCCCAGATAGATTGCTTTGGGGAATACGTAGAACCCCAGGACTGTGGAGTCTCAGCTCCAGGTAAGACTGTTTCCATTCCAAAGGTAAGAAACAGGAGTTTTGAAATCTCCAGGTCAGGGTTTTTGCCTTTGCCCCAGATTTCAGAACCTGGTGCTACTGACACAAGAAGATGAGTAAACAGGTCCAAAGAGAGAATGTGGACCCAGGTTTAAGAAGCTGGCTATGTGCTTTCCTGCCAGGAAAGGAGTGAACAAGGGGGCAAGAAAACAGAAGGTAGTTGTTCTGATTGTGATGAGACAGGTCAGTCATTAGGATTCCTGGAGCACCTACTCTGTGACTGAGGAGTACCCAGTTCAACATATGTTACAAAGAGCTGTAAAATTTCTATAATGGTAGAGGGTGTGGAAACCCTTGGACATAACTGTGCAGTGTGGGAGTTCATGCAGTGTGCCCCAGATGGTGGTACTGGCATTTCAGCACCTTGATCCCCCTCAGGGACAAAATTCTGCCAGTGATGCTGCTGTGTGCTTCAAGGATTCTGCCCTCCTATTTCCAGAGGGTTTTACATGCCCCTGGCCATTCTGACTGTTCTAGAGACTTTGGCCATATGCTTGTCCTCCTCTCATTGTTGCTAACAACTCAACCCGGTGTTTATGCTGAGTCTGGGTGGGCCATGGTCTGTTTCCCATGCAACTGTTTACTAGTCATCTCAACCTTCAGATTATCCTGGGATTTATTCTTATGTACCTGTGACTCCTGCATTGACAACTATGTAGGATTGGGCCTGGGAAGCCAGAATTTCACAATATGTAATACCTGGCACATATTTATATCTCCTTAGGGCCCAGGTAAGGTTCGTGCATTGTGTGTAGTTTCAGTTTTACTATGTAATACCTCAAAACTGGAAACTACCCAAATATCAGCCAAGTTAGTAAATAGATTATAATATGGTCTTACAGTATAATACCATACACCAATGAAAAAGAACATAGTTTAACTATAGGTACGTTCCACATGTGGGTGAATCTAAAAGCATAATAACAGAAGTAGCCAGAAACAATGTGTGAATCCGGTGCATAAAGTATAAGACCAGGCAAAAGCACTTTATGATGATACAAGTTTGGATAGCATGTTTGCCTGGGGTGCAGGATATAGTCACTGGAGGGCATGGGAGAGGGCTTTCTGGATGCTGGTAATGTGTATTGAGCTGGATGCTATTTACATGGTTGTGTTCATTATGAAAATTCTTTGAACGTTAAAGTTAAGCTTTGTGCACTTTTACTTTCCTGTGAAGTTTACAAAAGAATCCATTAGAGGTGAGAGCTATGTCCTTCAAATTTGTTTGGATCAGGAGGCATGAGATGTTTTTCTTTTTGTGTTTTAACAGCCTCACCTGAAAGAACCCTTCCTTTCCTTTCCTTTCCTTTCCTTTCCTTTCCTTTCCTTTCCTTTCCTTTCCTTTCCTTTCCTTTCCTTTCCTTTCCCTTTCCCTTTCCCTTTCCCTTTCCCTTTCCCTTTCCCTTTCCCTTTCCCTTTCCCTTTCCCTTTCCCTTTCCCTTTCCCTTTCCCTTTCCCTTTCCCTTTCTTTCTGATAGTCACACAGAGAGAGAGAGGCAGAGACACAGGCAGAGGGAGAAGCAGGCTCCATGCACCAGGAGCCCGATGTGGGATTCGATCTCGGGTCTCCAGGATCACGCCCTGGGCCAAAGGCAGGGGCTAAACTGCTGCGCCACCCAGGGATCCCGAAAGAACCCTTTCTGACCCTAAGTGCTACTTGTCTTCTCTACTTTAAAGTTTTGTTTTAAAGTGATCTCTATACCCAAAGTGGGGCTCGAACTCACAACCCTGAAATCAAGAGTTGCATGCTCTACTGACTAAAGCAGCCAGGTGCCCCCGTCGCTCTCTTTTTCTTCTGTCTTGGCTACTTTGCTCCCTAGAGCCTGCCTGCCTTTATTTATTTATTTATTTATTTATTTATTTATTTATTTATTCATTCATTCATTCATTCATTCATTCATTCATTTACTTTACTTCCCCTTCTTTTCACCTCCCCTTCCTCCTATTCTTTGTTTCAATTAGCAATAATCACGCCTCGGATAAACTTCATTGGCTATGATACTGCCACTGCGCAAAGCTCTTCCTATTCTTTTGTAACAATTGTTCTGTTAATTTGAAGAGAGTGAAAGCTGAGGCAGTTTAGTAGCATTCATGGGCATGTCAATCTGGTAGAAGTCAGTGCTAGATTGGGTTTCTTCATTCATCCAGTAGTCAGTAAGCCTGTGCCAGGCTCCCAGGAGACCCAGATTAATAAAACTTGGTTAGGTAGGAGCTGCAGAGTGAGCAGGGACCACATGCTGAGCAGGAGTGTGGAGGATATGGAGAGTTCCAAGTAGTTCATCATTGTTGGAATAGGCCTATAATCTCTAGGGAAGGCAAAATGCCTTGATGAATGTAAAGTAGCATTTTCAACAGGGTTGTGTATACATAAGTGCAGGATAAACAAAGTGCTAATTCAGTATACATGTATTGAAGACACCGAGGTAAGAGAATAAGCAGGGCATATTTCTTCAAGGTAAGCATTGAGTTAGATTTAGAGGGAAATAACAGTTCAAGTTAGCCTATTCTGTAAAAAGGCGTGGGGATTGTTTTAGCTTGGGTTGCTACAGTAGAATATTCTGGACTGGGTAGCTTAAATAACAGACATTTATTTCTCAGAGTTTTAGAGGCTGGGAAGTTCATATCAAGGTTCCTGCAGATACAGTGTCTGGAGATAGCCATCTTCTGGCTTGCAGCCAGGTGCCACCTCATTGTGTCTTCACATGGCAGACAATTGAGGAATCCATCTTGCGTCTCTGCCTCTTTACAAGGGTTATAATCCCATCATGAGGTATCATGCTCACATGACCTCTGTGCAAAGTGCTGTGGTTTCTCTTCATTTTGTTATAAGGACACTAATTCCATTGGGGGGTGCTTCACCCTCTTGACTGTACCTTATTACTTCTCGAACACCCTGTCTTGTGATAGCATCACACTGGGGCATAGGACTTCAGCTTATGAATTTGGGGGGTGGGGGACATAAATAGTCACAGAGATGGAAGGAAGTAGAGCAAAGTCTGGTTTTAGAGTCAATGAAAGGAAACTATATTGAGGTTTTTGGTCAAAGGGAAAGAGAAGGAATTGTTAGAGGACGCCCTTAGGAGCCAAGTTCTAACAAATAAATTTATTTTCATAGCTTCTGTAGAATTAGCTTGTATCTCCTTTGTCCTGTAGGCATTGGGAGCAAGGAAAAGGAGGCTAAAACCCAGCAGGTAGACCTCAAGGGGGCACTTGCTCGGGTGACGTCAGAGAGGTTTGGGGAAGCCACGCTTCAGAGTCCTGAACTTGGAAGAACCTGTGAGCAGGAGCCCAGTAGCTCTGTGGGAAACATACCAGGGCCACCGCCTCCTCAGCATGGTGTCATACCCCTGCCTGATGACCTCAAGACCCACAGCTCCTTCTGGAAGCCTTTTCAGTGCCCTGAGTGTGGAAAAGGTTTCAGTCGGAGTTCAAATCTTGTCAGACACCAGCGAACCCACGAAGAAGAGAAATCCTATGGGTGTGTCGAGTGTGGGAAGGGATTCACCTTGAGAGAGTACCTCATGAAGCACCAGAGAACACACCTGGGAAAGAGACCCTATGTGTGCAGTGAGTGCTGGAAAACCTTCAGTCAGAGGCACCATCTTGAGGTCCACCAGAGGAGTCACACGGGGGAGAAGCCCTACAAGTGTGGTGACTGCTGGAAAAGCTTCAGCCGGAGGCAGCATCTGCAGGTGCATCGGAGAACTCACACGGGGGAAAAGCCCTACACCTGTGAGTGCGGCAAGAGCTTCAGCAGGAATGCAAACCTGGCAGTGCACCGGCGAGCCCACACAGGCGAGAAGCCATATGGGTGCCAGGTGTGTGGGAAGCGGTTCAGTAAAGGGGAGCGACTGGTCAGACACCAGAGGATCCATACTGGCGAGAAGCCCTACCACTGTCCTGCCTGTGGGAGGAGCTTCAACCAGCGGTCCATCCTCAATCGGCACCAGAAAACCCAGCATCGCCAAGAGACCCTGGCACAGTAAAGATGCCCTGGTGAAATGCCATCCTTTTTTTGTGAATGGAAGGTGCAGGACCTGTCAGGACCATCAGCTGGAGGGAGACCTATTGGGAGGATGCATTGGTCTTTAGTCACTGAAGGGCTTTGAGGTGGGCATTGAAGAGTGATGGGGTGCAGAAAGGCATTTTGACCCATTTTCTTTCCATTTTTTGTCAAACAGAGGCAGGGCAAGGCCTGATATATTTTGAGTTTCCAGAGCGCAGTTCCTCATGTCTCTTATCCAAGTGGTGCGAACAGTTTTTCCTGCCATCTTTTGGGGAAATGATATCCTGAATTTCAGAACATCCTTTGGTGGGATGTTCATATCTGCCTCTCGAGCAAGTCTGATAGTAAAGGCAAAATTTTGTCCCACGGTGGCAACTTAAACCTCATTTTTATGAGGGCTGTATCTACCTGCAAGATCATTAGTTCAGATTCTACCTTCCTTTTCCATTTAACAAATATTTATTGAACAATTACTTTGTGCCTGATACTGGGAACATGGTGAATGAGACATAAGAGACCTGGGTCTCCCGGAGCTTGTGATTTATAGCAGTGGAAACACACAGAACCATTAATAACCCCAGGCATTCTAAGTTATGTTTGTGGTAAGAGCTGTGTGAGAGGATAGTCTTGTGGTGGTCACTCGTTTTGCTCTGCTACTCAGGTGCTGGATCTTTCCCTCCCCAGTTGGGATCTCTCAGTCAGCTTTGTTTATTTTACTTTCTTTGTAACCTTTTTCTGTCTCTAACATTGTACCCTTATCTGTAAAGTTTCCCCATTATTCCTTGTACCGTAACAGCTATTTACCCATCCATTAGGAAATTAATATTTTGCTATTGATCACTGAATAAACATGAAAGTATTTTTAAAAACACTCAGTTCTGTATAAAGATCTAATTAAATGAATCTGAAAGATGAACTAGTATTAATTAATACCTGATATTTGATGACACCTTACAGCATATTTAGATGCTTTTATTTTCTATTCTTACTTTATTCATTCCACACATATTTATTGAGGCCGCACAGGAACTTGGCTAGTTGCTTGCCATATATCAGTGAATAAAATGGGAAAAGATCCCTGACCTTGTAGAACTTATATTTAAGTGAATATATTGGATCTTTAGAACCATGTAGAGTGGAACCTGTGGATACTCCCATAAACACTCTGGCCCTGGGACCTGAGCCTTTGTCCTTGGTCCTGTGTCAGTTTCTTGCCTTGAAAGGGCATTTTACCACATACTTCTTGTTACTGAATAGTCTCTGTTGATACATCTGGATCCTTGTCTGAAAGGTCTCCAACTGGGAATGATGAGTTTTGCATGAGTGCTAATTCAGGAAAGATAAAGATGTGTGTAGGCATTTAAAAATACGTTAATAATGAGAAGATACAGTATTTGTAACCTGTTTACCCTTTATTTTACCATCACTAAAGGGTTCCCTTTCTGTTTAAAATTCTGGAATAGTTTGCTTAAAATTCTGTGGAATGAGTATGGACCACACTGCAGAGTCGTAGTGCTGTGCCTTTGAATGCTGGCTGCTGAGTGAGTTACTCTATCTTTGGTTGACAGTACTATAATTCTAAGATGTGATTTGACTTGTGGTGCCTTTTATTTTTATTTATTTTTCTTAAAGGTTTTTAAAATTTATTTGAGAGATTGAGAGCATGAGTGGGGGGAAGAGGGCAGAGGGAGAGGGAGAAGCAGACTTCCTGCTAAGCGAGGGGAGCCCAATCCTGGCTGATCCCAGAACCCCGGGATAATGACCTGAGCTGAAGGCAGATGTCTGACTGAGCCATCCAGGTGCCCCTTATGGTGCCTTTTAATATTAGATTCTTTTACTGTTTTTTTTTTCTCTACATTTTTCATTGTACATAAATAATGATTTCAACATTATTTATCAAATAACAATATTTATCAAATAATAATTGTAACAGAGAGTTGCATTACTCAGTCTACTTTGAAACATATTGTTTTATTCCATGTTTCTTAGATGGCCTTGGTAGATAGCCATGATATTTAATTTTGAATTAGCACATGATTTCCTGGTCTCTTAGCTGTCCCCATGAGCCTGCAGTAGCCAGGGCCTAAGTGTATCTGGGATGTCATCCACTGTCTGAAACACTAAGTGGCTGCTGCTTAGCAATGTTGAGATCCAGATGCAAAATCAGCTTTTTTTTTTTTTTCCCCCACTTCCCAGATAACCTTGGCCAAGCTTACAGTCACCTTGCAGTCAAACCCAGGGGTAGGCTTTTCCTAAGTTTCTGGCTTCTGGTCTGTAGGACCCGGGACTGATGTGGCCTGAGTTTGGCCTTCTCTAGGAGGTTCATTTCCAAAACTAGGCAAGGAGTGTTGGGTATAGGCTGGGAGTTGCTTATCAAGGGTCTTTCTGTTTACCTGAGTTAAATTGTAGATTCTCTTTGATCATATCCTTAGCCAAATAGGACTGTGGGGTTTTAGCCAATTGAAATCTCTTCAGAGAAGCTTTTGTAGGAGCTGGGGCTTGCTAGCTTTTTCTCTTGGATTCCCCTATCTGCCTTGATACCAAAGTTTATGGATAATGCCTCAAAAAAGCCTCAAAAGAAAATTTTTTCTCATAGAATTTTAGTAACATTTTTTTTTTCTATTTAGATTTTTTTTTTTATTTTTTAAATTTATGATACAGAGAGAGAGAGAGAGAGAGGCAGAGACATAGGCAGAGGGAGAAGCAGGCTCCATGCACCGGGAGCCCGATGTGGGATTCGATCCCGGGTCTCCAGGATCGCGCCCTGGGCCAAAGGCAGGCGCCAAACCGCTGCGCCACCCAGGGATCCCATAGATTTTTTATATAATAGAAAATTTCAAACATATATAATGACTCCCTATGTATTCATTGCTTGGCCTTACCCATCATAAACTCATAGCTAATCTTGTTTTATTTCTACCCTCTCTTCCCTGTCTTCCACCCCTACCGAAGTATTTTGAAGCAATTTCCAAATATAATCTATAAATATTTGTATGTACCTCTGAAAGGTAAGAACTCTTTGAAAAAGAAAACTCACAATATTATTATCATACCAATAAAAACGAACAGTTCCTTAATTTGTAATTAATGTTTTCTTAACCATGTGCTTTTTAAAAGCTTTTTTAAAAAAAATTTATTTATTTGAGACAGCATAAGCTGAGGGGAGAAGCAGAGGGAGAGGGAAAAGCAGGTAATCAATCCAAGGATCCCAGGATTATGACCTGAACTGGAGACAGACAACCGACTGAGCCACCCAGGTGCCCATTATTTGAGTTATGGTCCAAATAAGATCCATAAATTGCAAATTGGTTGCTTTGTTTTCTAAGTCTTATAATCTATAGTTCCTATTCTTTTTTCTCTTGAAATTCATTGAAACAACTAGATTCTGTAGAATTTCTTATCTTTGAATTTCATATTATTTTCCCCTCCTTTTCCCTTTGATCCCATTTGTTTCCCTTTGATCAGTGAAACCATATAATTGTCTTTCTCTGATTGACTTATTTAACTCAGCATAATGCCCTCCAGTTCCATCCACGTTGTTGATGTAAATGGTAAGATTTCATCCGAAGCCCTTTTTTTCAGCAGCTAGAAGGGAGGCTGAGGAAGAAACAATGACATCGCATTGCCCCTAGTGGCCTTCCTGATAATGGCAGTCATCTCTAGCTATTGTGCCACCCAATTGCAGTACCATTGAATTCACTTAGAAATTCGACAAGCCAAACAAATTCACTGGGGCTTCATACAGTTTTGCGTTCCTGTCTTACTTTTTTCTACCTTTATTATGTCAGTTTCTGAAGACCAAACTTCTAGAGAGATGTATCGTGTCCAACCTGTCCCCATTATTGACATGTTTCAATAAAAAAAGCAAAAACTTTGTTATGATAGGGAGGGCAAGCAATGTTCTTTCTTGTGTTTGTGACTGGGAATTTAAGCTGCTAGGAGAGTGAGGCTGGAAAGGATTGGGTAACATAAGAGTTGTGTCTTGACAAACAGAAGGACTTGGAAGAAGCAATTTTAGTTTTCTGGAAGTGCCAATAAGCTCCAGTATAAAGGCTGCCGTCGTTGTCACATGCTCTAGTCATAGCTCCATCATCTGAGTGGCCAGAGAGCAGAGAATGGCAGCAAGCAAGCCTTGGAGCTCACCTCATATGTTTTTCCTTCCTTAGTAAAAACTGCAGTCTCTGGAGAAGGTAGTAGATTAACCTATAGATAGTTTGGGAAAAAGAGGTAATACAAGTCCATTTATGCCTTCTTGACACCCACCTCTGGAGCTATTTGTGCTTACTCGATTTTTTAAAAAGATTTTATTTATTTGAGAGAGGGAGATAGCAAGAGAGAGCATGAACAGGGGTGGGGGAAAACGACAAGCAGACTACTTGCTGTGCAGGGAGCCTGAGATCATGCCCTGAGCTGAAGGCAGATGCTTAACTGACTGAGCCACCCAGGTGCCACCTGCGTTTTCTTTCTGTGAAACAGTTGAGAAAAACTAGATCTATATCATCTAGAAATGTCACTGACTCCTGCTCAGCATGTTGTATGAACAGAAGAAGTAGAATGATGTTAAGTAGTTGATCATTTAGAGCCAGTATCTTCATGAGGCCCAGCCTTTATTTTGAAGTGTTCCTGCTGCCTGGACTGAGGCGCTAATGGAAGGACTGGTAAATAAGTGATGGGAAAAACCCCAGCAATTAAAACAGTGTGGGACTCCCGCATAAATAGACCAGTGAGTTAGCACAGAAGGTTGAGAAATAGCCCTGGCTTTCTATAGTGATCTAGTATGTAGTAAAGATGGAATCTCAAATCACTGGGCAGAGATCAATCTTTTTTTTTTAAATTGATTGGGATAGTTGGACAGCTATTTGGAGAAAAATAAAAATAGATCCATTTCTCACATTGCATTTAAGAATATACTCCAGGGCAGCCTGGGTGGCTCAGTAGTTTAGCGCCGCCTTCAGCCCGGAGCATGATCCTGGAGACCCCGGGATCGAGTCCCACGTCAGGCTCCCTGCATGGATCCTGCTTCTCCCTCTGCCTGTGTCTCTGCCTCTCTCTCTCTCTCTCTCATGAATAAATAAATAAAATCTTAAAAAAAAGAATAAACTCCAAATGAATCAGGAATCTGTGAAAAATGAAACTACCCAAGTACCAGAAGACAATGTGGATGTGAATTCCTCTAAAATTCATGTTCAGGGAAAGACTTTCAATCTAGGACTCAAAATCCAGATGCAATAAAAAATGATTATTTTTTTAAAAGATTTTATTTATTTATTCATGAGAGAGAGAGAGGCAGAGACACAGGCAGAGGGGAGGCAGGCTCCATGCAGGGAGCCTGACGTGGGACTTGATTTCGGGACTCCAGGATCACGCCCTGGGCTGAAGGCATCGCTAAACCACTGAGCCACCCGGGCTGCCCGATTTGATTCATTTCTACATAAAAATTTTAAGAACTTCTGTATGGCAAAAACAATAAGCAAAGATAAATGTCAGTTCGGAAGAAAATAATTGCAACATAAATAACACAAAGTTCTAATATTTCTAATATATGAAGAACTTTAAAAAACAAACAAAAAAAAACCCAAAAACCAAGCAAACAATCCCATTGAAAAATGGACAAACTGGAATTCACACACACACACAACAAAAGTGGCTATTAACCATATTTGAAGATGTTGACCTTCACTCAAAATATTCCAATTGAAACTACATGAGAGATTTCCATTCGATTGGCCAAAATTCCAAAACTTGACAGTACATGCTGTTGATGAGTTTGTGAGGAAACAGAATTTTTATGTGTTGTTAATGGCATGCAAAATAGTACAACCTCATGTGGAGGAGAATTTAGCAATATCTAACAAAATTATGGGTGAATTTAAAGAGACCTCTAACAATATGAAAATACATATGTACAACATTCAT